TTTCATAACTACAATCGCAACAAATATGAAACAAAAGATACCTCGTGCAGCCGGTTAGCTGCCGTAGCTGCCGAAATCGTGGCTCTCGCTCTAATGGTCTTTAGCATATGAGGGCGTATGCGATCTACCTGTGGCCCGATATCAAGTTCTCAAAGTCTCGCGACAATAGCGGTACCAAACCAAATGAAATTAATATAGTCGTATATTTATATAAAGGAAAACATAATTTCCCTGTATGAATTATAATATTTTTTAAACAAATTTTAACGTAATAATGTTTAATTTATAATTTTCTTAAATCAAAATGAACTACTTTTGCATAATGCATTTTAATGACACTTACACTTACTAAATTTGTTTATAAATACATTGTAAAGCTGTTCTCCCATATTTGCCTTGTTGTAGATAATCAGTGAAGACCGTTTTCGTCAACTGGAGAAGATCAAGACCATAGGCTCCACCTACATGGCAGCCTCAGGCCTAAATGACTCCACATACGACAGAGAGGGTCGTTCCCACATCCTGGCACTATGCGACTATGCCATGAGGCTGAGGGAGCAGATGAAGTACATCAACGAACACTCCTTCAACAACTTCCAGATGAAGATTGGTGAGTTTGATACTTCACATATACAACTTTAATCTTTAGGTATCCTAAATTAAGTTAAGGTCGTAGTATTATACAAATTGATTGTAGACGTATTGATCAAATTAAATAAAAATAATAATTTCACATTCATTAACATATCTGTTCAAAGTATGTGTTCACTCTTCAGTGTGTAGAATTATTGTATTTAAAAAAGTTATTAAAAGTTAATAAAAGTTCAATTTTGCAATCTATTCAACTTCTCTCAAACTCACCAGACTAACTTTTTTGGCTATGTTAAGAGTCATAGTATATAAACAATATATTGATTATAATCTCTTAATCTCTTAGGTCTGAACATGGGGCCAGTGGTGGCAGGAGTGATTGGAGCCAGGAAGCCTCAGTATGACATCTGGGGAAACACAGTGAATGTGGCCAGTCGCATGGACAGCACAGGAGTACCAGATTATATCCAGGTAAGGATTTTGTTCTGGTTTTTACAAAATGAAAATGCAGTGAGTCACTATATGACTTGAATACCAAATATTGCATAAATTATTGTATTTTATTTTTAAAGTCATTGCTGTAGCCAGAAAACATGGCAGCAGAGAATTAGTAACAGTAACATGAAAGGATTAAAATATGCATGACAAAAATCTGTTCCATATTGCTTTCTGCTTTTTTAATACTCTAATTTTTAATACCATAACAGACTTCCATTTGTGCACTTAGTGAATTAGACTACAGCTGTATTGCTTTCCTTGTTGATGTGAAAATTACAGTAGTAGTTTTTAGTACAAGTTGTTTTTTTCTTTTGCTAACAGTAAACCAGTAATATGAATGCCACAATTCAGCATATGACCTAGTTTATTCTTAGTAAACATATATCATTTTCCTGAAATTAATCACATTTGTTCATACTTGAGTGTAAACATGTAAGATTACTTTAGAGTCTGTTTGATTAATCTCATTGGGATTTAGTGAGGTTTTTGACCCAAATATTGCTCTGGAAAAGGTACAGACAGGGCAATGCTGCCACCTGTTGTATCTCACATTGAACTGCAGAGAGAGAAATCAGATAAGATGTTCATGTGCATGTCAGATGTTTTATTTATATTAGCTGCAAAACGTCCAAAAATAAGTTTCACGATATCAGATTGAAAAAATTACTATTCCACTTTGTTTAAACTGCATTGATGCTTTGCAGAGACATCACATTGGGGGTGTTCTGCTTGTATACCTATGGCAGAATGTTCAACAGTTACCATGATGACATAATGCACACATTAACAATAACTTCCAAAAAAGCTTTAAGATAGTCTGAAAAAATACAAAATCAATTTAAACAACACATTTTCAGGAGCCTGTGATCAATACAAGTGCACATGGTCTTGTTTAGGTGAGAATGTGAGAGTGATGAACTGAAAAAGAGTTTGCTAATGCTTTCTAGCTTGTGACTGTAGTGCAATATGAGAGGGACTTGTTTAACAGCACAACTCATCTCACCTGTTATAGCTCCAGCTAAATCATTTCTTTATGGTCAGATTGTGTTAAAACAAAACTCATCTTAAAGTCGATCTTGAGTAACAGAGCTTCAGACAGAGCAGTGCCTACAGTTATTATCACAGCCCCAGGGAATGTTGATTACATCAGCTGCAAAGTATCAATTGCTGAATCAGTTAAGTGCATTTCTATTAAACCCATCAGCAAATTGCAGTTTTATTTCATATTTTGTCTTTATGATCGTTCACGTCTATCCGCAAGTTGAAATAACTATGAACACTGAATACTTTCAAAGAGAAACATCTGGTTTCACAAAACACCTATAGGCTTATATAGTCTTATGAGTAACACATCACCTATTGTAGAGTACAGTGCGACTAACAAAGTTTCCAATGTCTCTTATTCCCGTCTCAGGTGACGACGGACTTGTACCATGTGCTTTCCAGTCACGGATACAAGCTGGACTGTCGCGGCCTGGTCAAAGTCAAGGGGAAGGGCGAGATGACCACTTACTTCCTCACCAGCGGCCCCCAAGGTAGTTAACGAGAGTGGATCAGAGCACTACAGACACTGCAAACCCCTCCACTGCACTGAGAGGACAGAGACTCCCAAAAAGAGTGGTCCAGTTGGCATTGAGCTCAGACGGATGGCACGGATATGGTGGAGACGCAAGGTGGCCGCCGGAGATGACCCTCGTTTTCTGGCAAGAGAAGAAGATGCAGGAAGTGGTTTCATGAGTGAAGACTTTCCCCTTGAGCTGCTTGAAAAGAGATCACAAAAGCCCAGTTGCCTTAGGACGGAAGTGGCTATGCTTTTATGAGCAATAGTACAAGAATTTCATCCAGTGTTTTTATTTATTTTCATGGATGGATTTTTGTGAATATATTGTACGCTACTTTAAAGAAAATATGCAAACAGATACACGTGAAGGACGACTATGACCAAAGAACAAACATTTGATATGAGAAGTACCATAATAAGTAATTTATTCCTCTTTTCACTGCAAAAGGCCACGGAAAAATGTCTCAGTTGTGCCCAGAGACATGAAAGCGCACTCAAAATCAAAATAATAATAATAATATTGGTTAGGATGACTTTTATTTTCCTATCAGGGCCTTTTTTGTCTCTTCCTAGCCACTGTGGACATAGAAATTACTATTTTCTTGGCGCACCGAAATGTACGTTTGATTTATTGGAAATTGAAGGAAAGAAAAGAAGTTGTATCATGGTACAATGGGAGATAATGAAGAAGATGTATGTGTGGTATATGTATGGATGCGAGCACATGTATCTGATAAGGGGCATACTGTACTTTCACTGTGAGGTTTTTACTGTATGAAAAACACTTTTGTTGCCAAACCAGTTGCTACAAGGCATGTTTTATATTATTCCTCAAAGCTAAAATTGATTTATTAAGATAATTTGAGAATAATTACTACACTTGTTGCAACTTTTACTGGACTGTGATTTCCTTCCAATAGATGAAGAAAACTATGTTATTTTATTAGGACAGTATCTCAGTGGCTTCAGTATTGACTGTATGGAAACTAACTATGGTTCTGTTCACAAGTATTGCCTTTCAGAGCAAGCAGTTCAAGTCCATGTCTTATTTGATGGACCAAAAAAGAACCATTTCCAAGAACAGTATTTGTGAAAAGCTTGTTACATTGGGCACTTGGAGGCTTGTCCCCCTCCCTCACTTCCCCAATCTAAACAATCACTATTTGAATGTACTTGTCCACTATGAAGCTACTACTGAGGAGAACCACTCTTATAATTGCCTTTGGTACTGACAGATGAGCAAAATAATTTATGTTGAAGTGATTTTATGTTATAGAAGGCTTTATATTTTCTGTTTTCTACCTGAGCCTAAACTGTTGCCTTATTGGCTAAAGAAGTCTCATTTCTTCTCCTAGTTCCTCTGTGTCCTGGACTTGTCAGGTCAATAAACCACTGTTGCATTTTCTTTTAAATCAACAGTCTAAGGAGTAGTGCAATGATTGGTTGAATTATTTTCCTCTCAAAAATAAATGGCTTTTTTTATTTGTTGCTCTGGGATTTTTTGTTAAATATAACTTTTGTCAACAGTAAAGTATAACACGTACTACTAGCAGTTAATATTTACAGCTCATGTATGTAAAGTGTTCTAGTGTGTAGTTCTAGTTACATTTTATTATTAGAGATTTAAACTTACCTTTGGTGAATAAGAAAACCAAATTCTTTTTTACAGCCATTATGTATTTCATTATAGTTAGGCTCTACCTGTCAATCAGCAGACTGCAATCAAGATTTCAGACCGTGAAAGTAACCCGAGACATGCCTACTACTCTCAATAAACCATCGGAGTACAGTTACAGGAGGGTGACACTGGAGAGAGTACTTAATTTCTGGCGTATGAATAATGGATTTTTGAGGAGGTAATGCTATGTTGTTCACTTGCAGTCCTCTATGTAAATCATTAATTAAACAACATCAATTCTGCTAATCCCTGGTGAAAAGGCAATAACGTTACACCAGTGGGCGCCTGCATAGTGGCATGCAGGTCTATCGGATTACACATGTAGTTCTAATGTTTATTATATCGCGCCAATAGAGAACAATGGACTACTTAAAACTGAGGATGTGCAACGCTGTGTTTGTCCCACAGGAACCCTAGTGATTCATTTGCGGATACATGCGCCACTTCAGCATGTTCTGGTAGACCTACAGTTACCAAAATTGTTACATGAGATTTCTATTACAAACAAAAGTCATACGAAGTTGTAGCCTAAACAGAGGCCTGTCTAATGGCAAAATGATACTAGATGGCTATTGAAACAATCTCCTTATTTGGCCAGAAGGGGTCTCACTTTTGGTAATCATTCCGACAAATGGCACCTGTTCACTGTAGAAGGAAGAGACGAAGAGGACAGACCTGCCCCATCCAGCTCCTTTTGAAATATTTTCTCTTCAGATCAGCTGAACAGGAGAGGAGAGACTGCAAAGTGCGGCATTTCGGCCAATTAAGGGAGCGCGTAAAATCAGACTGGACAGGTGAAATCTTCTTGGTGGAGGTAAGTAAAGCTAAAGAAGGAGACGCTCAACAAGTGTCTTCGAAAAGCGTGGTGGAGTCATTGTAGCAAAGTAGTATGTTGAGCTGTTTTATACGGCGACACGCTTCTTTCCTAAGGCAGTTTTTCAGATTTGTCAAGTTTGCGAGTCATCCTTCCTCTTTCGTTTTACTTCGTTTCAAGACAGTGTTGTATTGAATACTCTTTATCATTTCGGAGTTAACTTAATATGTCCTCGAGACAGATGATACTTGAACTAATGGGTTAATGTTAATGTTTGCCTGAGACACGTCAGTGCGACAGGTTTTTAGGATTTAGGCTGGGTAGTTTGTCAAGGGTTGGTTGTGTGGCAACAGAGCGGACAAACTGGTTGTCCCAATGAGTATCCACCACTTAAATCAATAATGAAGGAGCCTGGACTTGTGTAAATTAATAATGGCTTAGTAAAAGTGAGTCTCACCAACTGTGATCACTAAAGTACACATCTGATACCCTTGCTTTGTATTCATATCCTGTTTAATTTCAGGAAACTGTCTAATCTAGATTGTGCCAAGGTTGCGTGTTGTGATTATGTTTTGCCTCGCCCATATGTAGGCAGATGATGTGGGTAGCCTATAGCCTTCGCCTTTAAGATGACAGTAAAGACAGTGTCGTTGGAGATGTGTGCATCACTCATTAAACAGTGTTGCTATCTGCCGCAGCCACGTGGGGTCCTGGAGGAGGGTGGCTGGGGCAAATGAAGTCAGGTGTTTACCAAGAGGTGTGGTGTTTGTGCTCTCTCTCTACCTGCTCGCTTGCCCCACCTGGCTCCTAGGGACTCTTTACCTCAGAAGGGAGAGCGCGAGGAGTGTCACTGCCTACACGAGTTGGTGACACACGAAACCGGTTCAATACTATTTTTTTTTTTTAAAACTCCTGACATGTTTTCTTTTGTAGAGTGAGCTTGGTGGTGACATACCCAAGAGAGATGTACATCTAAGGAACAAAGCTGTGGAATTCATTATTTTTTTTACCTTGGTGACTTAAAGTGTTGCAGAAAGTAACCTTCTACACTTAAGACATGCGGCTGTTTCTACGGCGGCGTATGTCCCCCCTAAAACTGGTTGTCTTTGGAGGGGCACTCTTCATGTTGGCTTTAGTTGTTCTCCAAAAGGATGTTGCCACTTCACCTTCGGGGGATCCCTGGTTTCAGGATTTTGTTGACAAAAGGGACAAGGTAATGGATATGGTCCGAGGTGCCGTGCACAATATAGGTTTCCAGATTGGAGCTCCTCAGCCTCCCCCGGTTCACGAGCAGCCCACAGAGGATGTCAACTGTCCCGCTGGCTTCTACACACTAACAGAGCTCAAGCCCCACCTGGACAGACCTCCCCAGGACCCCAGTGCTCCAGGAGCAGATGGAAAAGCATTTCAGAAAGACAACATGACTCCTGAAGAGAAAAAGGAACACGAAGATGGCATGACAAGGCACTGTTTTAACCAGTTTGCCAGTGACCGGATCTCGCTGAGCCGTAGCCTTGGAGAAGACACCAGACCCCCAGAGTAAGTCTTAAGTGTGACAGCAGGTGTTTTTCTACAGACCTGCTGGTTTAGTCACAGTTGGGCCGATAAGGCTTTGAGGTCATGAAGAGGCTGGTCAATTATTTACATGGATTTAATACTTTCCACGTCACTGCAAACATACAGTAACTCTTTAATAAATGTGATGCCTAAGTATAACAAACAGTGATCAAGTCCTGCATAATTTGAGTTTACTTTATAAAAGATGACAAACAAAACAAACAAATATTTCTCGAAATACACAAACATTAAAAACAAAAATGGAATCTGTCAGTAAGCATGTGCATACACCAAGGCACTGGCCTGTTTAGATCCTATGTCAGGATTTCAGATGTATTTCAAATATATTGTTCATGGTCATAGAATGTATTTTCTTTGACATTTTCTTTCTGTGACTAAACTATTATGTTGCAACTAAAGTGTGGAATCAAACTCTATAATAAAAGAAGCACTGATACTGCTTTTTAACTTTACATTAGTTTGAGTGTCACTGTTTAACTTCCATCTTTACAGTAAATATACTCTGCAGCTTTAGCAAACAGATCCTCACATTTTCAGTTGCTTGTTCCTTATTGTGGTTTTGACTGTGTCCACAGACCTACCTGAACAGAGCCTTACTTGTTGTTTTGTGACTTTAATTTCCTCTGTTTTTGATGCCAGTTCTCACTCTCTCTCTCTCTGTCTTTCTGGATTGTGTGTCCCACCTTTGTGCCAGGTGTGTGGAAAGAAAGTTTCGCCGCTGCCCTCCTCTGCCCACCACCAGTGTCATTATAGTTTTCACAATGAGGCCTGGTCCACTCTCCTTAGGACTGTATACAGCGTGCTCCACACCTCTCCGGCCAAGTTTCTCAAAGAAATCATTTTGGTGGATGACGCCAGTACAGCAGGTACAGACCACTAATTTAAAGAAGACATGTTATGCTTGAGCCTGCAATAAAGATATGATACCCATGGATCAGTTATAATTTGCACATAATTTGATATCGTAATATTAATCTGAAACAAGCCCAGTGAGAGCTGACACCCCCGTAAACATAATCAAAAACAAGCACAGTGAAGTTTTCGGCCCCCTAGCAAGGGGAAACGATGCTGTGCAACTGGGTAAATGGTGAGGGGAAACTATATAACCACTATAACATGGTTAAAAGCTCTGAGTCGATTTTTGCATAATTGGTCTGCTTTAATTGTCTAAAAAAAGTTTATGTTAATGTATATATTTTAGGCCTATATTAAGATACTTTGTAATTTCCCTTATGGACCAGATAATTTGACTACTGTATATTACATCACCAGGTAACATAAAAGATCATTTTTCATGCCTTGGCTATAAACACAAAGATTATTTGCTTTGAACTCGCACTGTTCATTATTTGTAAGCTGAACTTTGTAAACTGTTGCCTGTGCTATCAGTAAACTCATCTCTAGGAGCAGGCTCCCTGCTGTGACTTTTTACCTTTAAGAGCGGACAATGGAGATATTTTTAAAAGGCACGAAAAGCAAATACCAGGAAGTGTTTGGGTTATTTCTGATGGCTGCTGACCATTTGTCACTTGGCTGAGGACAAATCACAGTTCCAGATAATGATAAATGATGTTGAGGATTAGCTGCAGGTGGTTTAAATGCAGAAAAATACAAATTGTATTGCGAAAAGCAGAGTTGAATATTTTTAACAGAATGTTGCTCAGGCGTCTCAATTCACCCAATTCTTTCACTGTTTGGCCCTGTGCCACAACTATAATCTAAGGCAGAATGACATTAGTTGGCTGACGAAGCTGATAGCCCCTATCTGACGTGTGTGGGTCATTGTGTTTCACAGTTTTTCTAAACAAAGCATTTCCCACTATTAAACTGACAACTACGCTTTATTATCCAAGGCTAGATAACAGGACATCATTTGTACTTTTTTTTTTTTCCTTTTTTTTATGATACCCCAGTATCATCATAGTAAGTGTTTATTCTAGTGTTATTTTGACTGGTACAAATGGGAACGCTGTTTAAATTATATTATCATTGTAATCATTCAAATTTCAAATGTTTAATTTTAATATATAATGTTCAATGCCTGCTGAGAACAGGCACAATCATTCATTCTACTAAAAGGGTCACAAAACATTTTCAAGGGGTGTGTCCTACTGTACTGGTAGTTCCTATTTTGCATGTGCATTTCTAAATCATCACATTTATTTGGTTAAAGACCAACAAACAGAATTCTGTGTATTGTGCAAAGTCTCTCGTTTAGCTTGCTGCAGGTACTGCCCTTGCGTCACTACTGCCCATCTTTTCATGACTGTATTGGGTAATAATTGGTGTTGTCAAGCAGCATAGGATTTATGACTGTTGACATTTCCATGAGAAGAAACCACTGAAGCACATCCTTCATCTGGTTGTTTCCCAGTAACCACAATTTGAAGCCCAGATGTCATTGTAGGGGTGTGTGATATGACAAAAATTATAATTAATAATTAATATAAATTCATGCCATCTGCTTCATCTGAAAGTTTCCTCTTCACTGTGATTGATTAAATCCAGTGCTTATTCACTTAAACTCTTACAGTGACTAATCACTAGAAGAATAATGAATATGATAATATGAATAACTGTTTTTTTGTGAAGTGATTAACATAATTGAATGTTTTATGTTTCCTCAGAGCATCTTAAAGGCCAGCTGGAGGAGCATGTGGCTGGGCTGAAGATCGTGCGTGTGGTGAGGCAGCTGGAGAGAAAGGGCCTGATCACTGCTCGGCTCCTGGGAGCCAGTCTCGCAAAGGGGGAAGTTCTCACCTTCCTGGATGCTCACTGTAAGAAATCACACAAGACTATTGAGACCCAAGTTATTCAGATTAGTAAATCTGTTCTGTACCAAACCTAAACTTTCAAATACCATATTTTCCAGGCTATTAGACACACTCTTAAGCCTCTAACCCCATCAAAAAACGACCGCGAGTCCCGCAAGCCAGAGCGCCCTAGCACAACTTCAGTAAACTACAAAGCCGCACCACCCGCAGCGCACGCAAACACGCACGGAGCAGACAGCGAAACACACCCACAGCCACATTCATCACCCCACGCCGATAAAGAACTTAACGGAGAAATGAACCAAAAAAGCGAGTCCAATGTGCCTTTCTGAGCCACAACTGAACAATTGCGTCACTGCGAACACGCCAACAATCCAGCGGTCCCAGACAGCACCCTCCCTACACACCACAAATGAACAAAGCCCAGAGTCACCGTGAACGCGCCAAACAAAGTCCCACTAACCCATCGACTGTTGTGTTTTGTTTAAAGTCCGGTGCGGTTTATTTGTGAAAAAAGTTCGAAAATAGACCATTTAATGACAATGTGTCTTATAATCCAGTGCGGGTTGAGCACACAGGGATGCTTTAAAAAATGAGAATGAAAATCATTTAATCTGTTGAGGTATGCATATATTGTTCGCTTCCAGCCATAACCAATTATTACTTTTTGAATCATGTGAAATGAGTCTAGGCTCTAATCTTGGGCTTAACTGTACATGGTGTGCCTGAATGAGCTCTTAACCACTTCCTGTTGCGAATGCTAAACCCAGAGGTGGAACTAATTTTATTGTGGTTGTCAGTTCTTGTAACAGTGCTGTTTTTACAGTGGTTTCAGTTAAGATTCTGTTGTAAACATATGGCAAAATTAAACTCTTTATTTTCAGCTGGCTGGTCGCAACCTAAAAACTGTTAGCAAAGAATACAATTACCATGTTGAGGTTATTGTGAGTCCAAATATTTTAGTTTGACCTTCATGACTCAAAGTAAACACTTCTAGATAAATTATATTTAAATCATCGGAGCGGTTAATGCATGGACACACCTGTTATTGCCATACGTGCCAACTGCTTATTCACTCCAATAAAACATAATTATCTTTCTCTTCCTGCAGGTGAGTGTTTCCACGGCTGGTTGGAGCCGCTGTTGCACCGTATCGTGGAGGAGCCAACCGCTGTGGTCAGCCCAGAGATCAGCTCCATTGACCTGAACTCATTTCAGTTTCACAAACCTGTGGCCACTAATCGTGCCTACAACCGTGGCAACTTCGATTGGAGTCTGACGTTTGGATGGGAACCTATACCAGAGGATGCCAAGAAGCTACGCAAAGATGAAACTTACCCAGTAAAGTAAGACACCATTTTATTTTATATTGAATTGAATGCACATTTAATGTGATTTTACAACATCCTTTATCTTTTACATCAGAACACCAACTTTTGCCGGAGGCCTCTTCTCAATATCAAAGAAATATTTTGAGCACATTGGGACTTATGATGACAAGATGGAGATTTGGGGTGGTGAGAATGTGGAGATGTCATTCAGGGTGAGTTTGAGTAACTTGTTTATAGATTTGATTCATAGATTTGACAAGAATTTTGTGTTTTTTTTTTTTGTGTGTGTGAAATGGACAGGTGTGGCAGTGTGGAGGTCAGCTCGAGATTATCCCCTGTTCTGTCGTCGGACATGTTTTTCGCACAAAAAGCCCCCACACATTCCCTAAAGGCACTGAAGTCATCACACGCAACCAGGTACGCCTCGCAGAGGTCTGGATGGACGACTTCAAGAAAATCTTCTATCGTCGCAACCAGAATGCAGCCAATATGGCAAGTCAGGTAAGTGTCTGTTTATTGAGTTTGGCTGGTTTCTAAGTTGAATTTAAAAAGAACTATAACATGCGTTTGAATTGTATCTCTCATAGAAACAGTATGGAGACATTTCTGAGCGTGTAACTCTAAGGGAGAAGCTGCAGTGCAAGAATTTCACCTGGTATTTGAACACCGTGTACCCAGAGGCCTTCATCCCAGATTTGGAGCCAGTCAAGTTTGGAGCTGTGAGTTGCGTTTTCTTTCATTTAAATAGAGATAAGGGGTCACAGAGTTCAGTCTTCTTGATTATAAATACTATTATGGCTATGTTTGCTTTAGATCAAGAATTCTGGATCACAGACCTGCCTGGATGTGGGTGAAAACAATCAAGGAGGCAAAGCCATGATTATGTATCAATGTCACAATATGGGTGGAAACCAGGTTCGAAACCAGACAAAATATGTATCATGTATTCATGAAACAGTTCTTAATTATTTTGGGTATTATGTTTTTGCAGTACTTTGAATACACATCCCACAGAGAGCTACGGCACAACATTGGTAAACAGCTATGTCTTCATGCCTTATGCGCAGCCAGATGCAGTGAAGATTGAAGAGTGCTGGCTAAAAGGAAAAGGCACTGTTTTAGGACCGGACCAGGAGTGGGTTTTTACAGAGGTAAGGAGTAGTGTTTTCATTGTCATGTTTTAGCACTTGTAACCTACAGAATAATAAAATAACAGTGATGAAAATGAAGACTAGGCCTAGAGGTGCAAGAAATTAATTCATTCAGTCATTGCTTTTTTTCCCAGGTAATTATTATTAATTTTTTTCAATAATAATAATAGAAACAGTTCACATGACTTTAGCTAGTCAAGGGGTTAAGCTAATGACAAGCCATTACAAAATTGTTAGAAGTCAGTTTACACAAGATGTCCCTGTAGCATTTATATGGAATGTAATTATAAAGTAATAGTAAAAACTGAACTAGTAATATTTTGCTAAATATAAACATGATAAAAATGGAATATGATTAATGTGGATGAGGGGGTCATGCAACGAGAACCAGGGATGTAAATGTGTATTGCAGTTTAATATGTAATCTCGCTGGTTTTATTATGGAAAAATAAATATAACCATCCTTGTTGGGCAAGGGATTCTACTTTTTCTTGATCTTTATTGTGCTGTCCATTTTTGTCACTGGACTAAGTGTGCCATTGTCATGGACCTCCTGATAAGTATCTTGTTTGTGCAAATGTTTTATTCTATTTTAGGAAAACCTCCTGAAGAATCCACAGAGTGGAAAGTGTTTGCGGCTGATTGGAGGGCAGGTTCAGATGGATTCTTGTAACGCCGCTGATCTGTTCCAGCACTGGACCATCAGTTGACCACCACAAACACATGAACCAAAAAACTTAATTCTCACTCTGAAGTCTCACCCTGTGGGGCCAAAGACATAGTGATCCTGCTGCGGAGCTGCGAGGACTTTGTGGTACAGACAAGTGGTTAATAATGAGTGGGAAGACACCGCAAAGAGAAGTGCGGAGCCATTTGCTGGCATGTTTGTTTTAAATTAATTTATGACGGAAACTCAGGAAACACAGTTGAAAGGTGGTGGGTGTCCCTCGGGTAAACAAGGACTTGAGAGGAGTGGCAGCTTTGACCATGTGGAAAAGGCTGGGATTTGCAATAATATAAAAAAAAGTGCTTTAAACTATATGGTGAGAAAAATACCATGTAGCGACACTCCATATTTAATGTTGTAATAAAAGAGAAGCTTGTTTTATAATAAAATGCATTATGTTGTATTCTTGACATTCTTTTTTTTTTTTTGATACTTATTTCTGTTGTTTTGTAGCACTTTCCATTAATGTTATAATCTTATTTGCACTTATATATTGACAAGCAAAATTGACATAAGGAGTGGTCAAGGCACATTCTATTCATTCATTGGAATAGGCGTAAAACCAGGAGACACTGGCTTGCTTTACACAAGTTTCAATGAAATTTTGAAAAGAAATCACACTGAATTCATGCTGACATTTGTTTATGTAAGCTGCATGTATAATTGTTAACTGTAAAGGGATTCATGAACCTGGGTCAATATGGTTTTGGATCAACAGGTGGCGGTATTTTTTGCATTTTCCTGCCTTGCAATGATGACAAGTGAGATTTCCACACAGCGTGTTTACTGCACAAGCACGAAGCAGGAGAAAGTCCAGAGTTTGGTTCATTGGGTGGAACAAGAGCGTGCAGAAATGTGCTCTGAAGTTTTAAACCGCTGTGAAGTTATTGGTCAACTGAGGAGAGAACTGTATGGAGCCTCACTGTCCACTCACAAGGCCCACATTTTCATAATCTTTGGAGCTTCAGTGAGTAATAACCACCAAATATCTATTAGAAACTCAAAGCTGTGGTTTGTGCCCTTGTAATTTTATGTACTGTAGTTGTATTTAAAGCTGACTATGTTGCTATCTTTGACCTCATTTGATTAAGCTTATCTTGACTGAAGTTGGGCTTTATTCTGTTCACTTAAAGGGAGCCCAGTAGTTTGTTACAGAGTTTATCTTATCAATGTGCATGACATTTGTTTTCTTCTGGTATCTAAACTTGGTTACATGTCACTTATTAGTTTGTCTTACTCAGGGAGATCTTGCAAAAAAGAAAATCTACCCTACACTTTGGTGAGTTCTTATTCAGAAAACCTACTCTTGCAAAATGTAACTCTTGCCCAATATGATGGATCACTGCCTTTGGCCTGTTTGTTCATAGGTGGCTTTATAGAGATGGCCTGCTCCCAAATGAGACCTACTTTGTGGGTTTTGCTCGTTCTAATCTAACTGTCCATGACATCAGAAGAGCATGTCTGCCCTATATGAAGGTATATAAAGGATCATGAAATTATCTGGTGGCTAAAGCAGTGAATGAATGTGGTTTGTTTTTCTTTTTTTGTCTAGATAACTGATGAAGAGAGCAACTGCCTTACAGCTTTCTTCAGTAAAAACTCTTACATTAGTGGAAAATATGACGATGCCACCTCTTTTAACAAACTCAATGCACATTTATTATCTCTCCCTGATGGAGCTGAGACCAACAGACTCTTCTATCTGGCCCTGCCTCCTACTGTGTACCAAAGCGTTACCACTAACATCAGTGCACACTGCATCAGTCTCAAGTCAGTAAAGCTTGTTGAAATCCTCAGCATACTTGTACTAATCACATTCTGATCAGCTGATGTTGTGTGGAACAGGGGTTGGAACAGGGTCATAGTGGAGAAGCCATTCGGTCATGACCTTCAGAGTTCACAGGAGCTTTCCTCTCACCTCTTCTCACTGTTTAAAGAAGACCAAATCTACCGCATTGATCACTACCTGGGGAAAGAGATGGTGCAGAATCTCATGGTGCTAAGGTTTGTGTGTAAACTCAGTCCTATCTCTACTGGGCATTTAATTTTACTATTTTGGGTTGAAACAGTGCTGTTGCTATCATACGGGATGCTGAAGTTGTTTGGTTAAAAAACTTTCCATCACAGGACCTTACAAAATATCTATTTCTTTTATATAATGCATTTTCCAACAGGTTTGGAAATCGCATTTTTGGGCCAATCTGGAACAGGAACAGTGTGTCCTGTGTAGTCCTCACTTTCAAGGAGCCTTTTGGTACTCAGGGACGCGGAGGCTACTTTGATAACTTTGGGATTATTCGGTATGACACATACAAAACAGACAACAGACACACACAAAAAATTTAACAATTTTTTAACTCTAATCTGTTTGCCTTTCTTGCAGTGATGTAATGCAGAATCATTTGCTTCAGATTCTTTGTTTGGTTGCCATGGAGACGCCTGCATCTACTAACTCTGATGATGTGCGAGATGAAAAGGTAAAAATACAGCCATTCATGATGGGCATAGTTAGGGTCTGTAGCTCTTGTACATATATAAAGTAAAAAGAAGAAAATTAGAACACCTCCCGAGGGAGGCGCCAAGAGGCATCTGGAACAGATGCCAGAGCCACCTCAACTGGCTCCTCTCGACGTAGAGGAGCAGCGGCTCTACTCCGAGCTCCTCCCATGTGACTGAGCTCCTCATCCTATCTCTAAGGGAGCGCCCAGCCACCCTGTGAAGGAAACTCATTTTGAGCGCTTCTATTCGCTCGTAATGATTTTAACATCAAATGTAAACATCAAATATCTGATTTTTCTTTTATCATGGTCCCTCTGATAGCTCACATCAAACTGCATGTTCTATAAACTAAGTATTTTTAAAGGTTCAGAAATTAGATATTAATCAGATTTTGGTAAGCTTGTAACCACAACCACTGCCATAAAAAATTACCCAATTTCTTCCTTGAAAGTCCAAACTCTTTTCAAACCACATGCTGACAAAGGATTGGCTGAAGACCCAAGCTGGTCATTGACTATTAGACATCTCATTTAAAATTGAACTCATTGCCTAGCCCTAGGTTACAACATGCTCATGTGTTGCAATACCTCATATTTTTTATGTTATGTTAAAAAATACATGCTTGTTTCACTATCTATAGGTGAAAGTGCTGAAATGCGTGGCGCCGGTCTCTGCCTCTGATGTGGTCCTGGGACAGTATGTGGGGGACCATAGGGGGGAGGGGCAGGCCCGCTTTGGTTATCTTGATGACCCCACTGTCCCAGATGCTTCATGCACACCTACCTTTGCTACAGCAGTGCTCTATGTCCAAAACGAGCGATGGGATGGTGAGAACAATGTCTTGAATTGCACTTTTATTACTCTTTTTTTATAACTTAATGATTTTATAACTTCACCACATTTTCTTCAAAAAGGAGTTCCCTTTATTCTGCGCTGTGGTAAAGCCCTGAATGAGAGGAAAGCAGAAGTGAGGCTACAGTTCACTGACGTCCCAGGGGATATTTTTGGAGGGAGGTGCCAGCGCAATGAGTTGGTGATGCGGGTGCAGCCGGATGAGGCCATCTATCTGAAGATGATGACCAAAAGACCTGGAGTTTACTTCAGCCCCGAGGAGACAGAGCTGGACCTCACATACAAGAGCAGATATAAGGTACAACACCAAAGAGTTAACTTATCATCTTTTCTTTGTCAAGAGTAGTGTCATTTTATCAGCATATTTTACCAAAATACATACACCCAAATGATCATAATCAGGCCTCATTGACGTTAAACAGGAGCAATATAAAAATGAATTTGAGCTACTGTGACCCATACAGAGTGAATAGCTAGTGCTAATTCTCAACTCCTGTCCCTGGTCCCTAGAATGTGAAGTTGCCAGATGCCTATGAGAGACTGATACTGGATGTCTTCTGTGGTAACCAGATGCACTTTGTCCACAGGTTGGTCTTAATGTTTAATCACAGTTAAGTCCTGCAGTAACATTCCATTAATTTTAAATAACCTTGTTTGGGTCCAAGTGATGAGTTGCGGGAGGCTTGGAGAATTTTCACTCCACTCCTCCACAAGATGGAGCAAGAAAAAACAACCCCTATACCTTACACATATGGAAGGTACATTCTCATGTCTTTTCTCCATAATTTATTTAACTTGTTTGTCTTTTCATTTTGTGCACTTTGTATGGTTTTTTTTAAACTATTATTATTTTACAGCCGTGGTCCAACTGAGGCAGATGATCTAATGCAAAGGGTTGGATTTCAGTATGGAGGGACATACAAGTGGGTGCAGCCCCACTGTACAACATGATGCTCAATGTTTACATTTAACTTGAGGCCACAGGGGACTTGTTTACAGTGATCCTTTTGACACTTGCATGGACTTTTATGAATCACGTAGCAGCTAGATATGTAATGTTCACCGTTAAATTTTAGAAATAAGTAAAATACATTTCACTTGTTTTATATTTTCACAATTGATTAGGCAACTCTTCAAAATTAACATTTATAACTTTAAAACTGGTAACTTGAAAATGTGTCACTCAATGAAAACAGGTCACTTTAAAACCAGTACTGCACAAGGTAAGGTGATTTTCATTCTCATAACCCAAATATTAACACTTAACACTAAACCATCTGGATGCTTGATTTGAACCTTTTATTCATCCCATAGTAAAATCTGTTCTTTATGTTGTGTAATGTTATGTCATCTTATCATTTGTCTGTTTGGCAGGCACATAGTCTGACCAGGAGTGTCCCATCAGCAATAATGCCAGTACCAATAACTGGAAGACTGTGGGAAATCCAGCCATAAGAACATGTGTTTGAGCTGCCTCTCCTTTGGGGATGGGCACACATCTACACTTTATCTATGCAATGCCAAGAACATTGTGACCTAAATATACTTCTTATTGGCCCAGTGACATTGTTTGTTACTCAAGTTAATTGCATAAAGTGGTTTACTACTGTTAAAGCAAAATTAAATGGCTGTATAAAGAAAAATAAATATATATAATATAATATATATATATATATATTGTGATGTTTATTAGACATTTTTCAGCATAAATAAAGCTTATTATATTTAAATGTCATCATTATAAAAATACTTATTTCTAAAAATAAATACACTATTGCATCATGTAACCAAAATAAAAAGGCCTTCTCGGTGTAAATACCTGTTCTTAATCTGGACTACTTTAGTCATCAAGACCTAGTTCAAGATGCATTTCCTTTCAGAGGCCTCTCTATCTTCAGTGCCATCTTCTATAGCTGTCTCATCTTCTATGCCTCGAGCATATAGGCGGACCAATTGACCATGAACTCTGAAATTCAAATGATGTAATAATTAAAGTCTATACATTAGCGAGTCAAGAGTTGAAAAACAATGTTGCAGTGCATGACCTAACTCCCCCAGGAAGACAGTGTGGAAGATGTTCTAGTTCTCTTCATTTGGAACTTTAACATTGGAACATAAATAGGCTCTTGGTTCTTAATCTAACAGTAACCTAACATACAACATAGTAATTAAATGATATCTACAGAGTGTGACTCCCATGGACTGACCTGCATTGTATCTCAGTGAACGGCAGTATCTCTCCATCACAGTTCCACACAGAAACAGCTGGGCTTTTCCTGCAGCACAGCCCACACAGTAGTGAAGTGGGGGTCTTCTGCTTCTTCTCAAAGTCATTCTCCACAAGGTGCTGCTGAGAGCCACTGGTGCTCACAGGGTTCGCACTACACACCTTGGTCCCTTTCTCTGCCTCTGCACTGGAGCTGCCCACCTCCTTATATCCCTCATCATCTTCAGAGGAGAGGAAGAACCGGAAAGCCTTGACACGGTGGACCTCAACAAAGGGCAGGTCAAACTGGAGAAGCAGGAGACTGTTAATGATAATAACCATACTGCAATATGATTCCATATAAGTGGAGAAAGTGTCCAAATAACAGATACTCATATAGATGTATTTTTTATGTGGATCTTTAAATCTGCACTTGCATTTTTTGATTATAATTCTAGAATGTCATTGTAATTACTTACATTTAAAATTAAGTTACTGAGTACAGTACAAGTCCTAATTGTCCAAAACCATAGCTGTCTCACCAACGTCTCTGATTCTACCTACAAAGACACATTATAGCACTGCATTGCCTGTCTAGATTGGCCAGAGCCCAAAGAAATTGCAGATTGTGGTTTGAAACTACTAAATTCAGTTTTAATTAATTTGTTTTGTAAAAGAAGCTCACAGGTGAAAAACGATTGGGGACCCCTGGTCTAGATATAGTCGGGCTAACCTTCACGCACAGTTTGGGCTCTGGTACCCAACTTCTCGAGAGGGGTTGGACCCTCCATTTTCTGACATTGCCCATGGGGAGCGGCGGTGGGCAGGTATGGTCTTGCTTATTGCCCCACAGCTCACAAGCCACGTGTTGAAATTCACACCAGTGAATGAGAGGGTCGCGTCCCTGTGCCTTTGGGTGTGGGAAGAGGTCTCTCACTGTCGTGTCGGCCTACGAGCCGAACAGCAGTGCAGAGTACCCGGCCTCCTAGGAGTCCCTGAGAGGGGTACTAGACAGTGCACCAACTGGGGACTCCATTGTGCTACTGGGGGACTTCAACGCCCACGCGGGCAATGACAGTGACACTTGGAGACGGGTGATCGGGAGGAACAGCCTCCCTGATCTGAACCCGAGTGGTTTTCTGTTATTGGACTTCTGTACCAGTCACAGTTTGTCCATAATGAAGACTATGTTCGAGCACAAGGCACCAGAACACCCTAGGCTGGAGGTCGACGATCAACTTTGTTGTCGTGTCATCTGACCTCCAGCCACATGTCTTGGACACTCGGGTGAAGAGAGAGGCAGAGCTGTCAACCAATCACCACCTGGTTGTGAGTTGGATCCGCTGGCGGAGGAGGAAGCCAGAAAGACCTCGCAGACCCAAGTGTATCATGAAGGTCTGCTGGGAACATCTGGTAGAGCCCTCTGTCAGCAGGAATTTCAACTCACACCTCCAGGAGAGTTTCTCCCAGATTCCGGGGAAGACTGGGAACATGGGAGTCTGAATGGACCATGTTCTACACCTCCAAAGCGGCTGCTTGTAGCTGTGATCGCAGGGTCTCCAGTGCCTGCTGTGGCGGCAATCCCCAAACCTAGTGGTGGACGCTGAAAGAGGGATGCCATCAGGCTGAAGAAGGAGTCCTATCGGGCCTTGTTGGCTCACAGGACTCCTGAGGCAGCTGACAGGTACGGACAGGCCAAGCATGCTGCAGCTCATGCGATCGCAGAGGCAAAAACTCGGGGCTGGGATGAGTTCGGAGAGGCCATGGAGGAGGACTATCAGTCAGCCTCAAAGAAATTCTGGCAAACTGTCCGACACCTCAGCAGGGGGAAGCAGTGCCTCACCGACACTGCTTACAGTGCAGGGGGAGAGCTTTTGATCTCAACTGGGGATGTTGTTGGACAGTGGAAGGAATACTCTGAGGATCTCCTCAGTCTTACCATCATGTCTTCCGAGGAGGAAGCAGGAACTGAGGACTCTGAAGGACTCATCCATTGCCCTGGCTGAAGTCGCTGAGGTAGTTGGCAAGCTCCTTGGTGGCAAGGCTCTGGGGGAGGATGAGATCCATCCCGAGTATCTTAAGTATCTGAATGTTGTGGGGCTGTCTTGGCTGACACATCTCTGCAACATCGTGTTGAGGTAGGGGACAGTACCTCTGGACTCCCAGACTGAGGTGGTGGTCTCTCTCTATTTAAGTAGGGGGAGGGTGTGTTCCAACTACAGGGGAATCACACTCCTCAGCCTCCCTGGTAAGGTCTCTTCCAGGGTACTGGAGAGGAGAATCTGACCAATAGTCAAACTTTGGATTCAAGAGGAGCAGTATGGTCTTCGTCTCGGTCTCAGAACAATGGACCAGCTCTACACTCTCCATCAGGTGCTTGAGAGTTCATGTTTGCCCAACCAGTCCACATGTGCTTTGTGGATCTGGAGAAGGCATTCGACCGTGTCCCTCATGGTGTCCTGTGAGGGGTGCTCTGGGAGTATGGGGCCCCTGTATGACCGGAGCAGGAGCTGTGTTTGCATTGCTGACAGTAAGCCAGACCTGTCCCCGGGGCATGTCAGACCCCACCAAGGCTGCCCTTTGTCACCAGGTCTGTCCATTGTATTTATGGTCAGAATTTCTAGGTGGAGTCGGGCCAGAGGGGGTCCAGTTTGGGGACCACAGGATCGCAACTCTGCTGTTTGCAGATGATGTTGTCCTGATGGCTTTATCAGGCCAGGACCTGCAGCATGCACTGGGGCAGTTTGCAGACAAGTGTGAAGTGGTTGGAATCAAAATCAGCTCCACCAAATCCGAGGCCATGGTTCTCGACCAGAAAAAGGTGGCTTGCCCTCTCTGGGTGGGTGGAGGGTCCCTGCCTCAAGTGGAGGAGTTCAAGTATCTCTGGGTTTTCTTCAGAAATGAGGGGAGAATGGAGCGCAAGATTGACAGGCAAACCGGTGAAGCGTCAGCAGTGATGTGGTCGCTGTATCAGGCTGTTGTGATGAAGAGGGAGCTGAGCCGAAAGGCAAACCTCTCAATTTACTGCTCAGTCTACGTTCCTACCCTCACCTATGTTCATGAGCTTTGGGTAATGGCCAAAAGGACAAGATCGTGCAAACAAGTGGCCGAAATTTGTTTCCTGTGCAGGGTGGATGGGAGCTCCCTTAGAGATAGAGTGAGGTCAGTCACACGGGAGGAGCTCGGAGTAGAGACACTGCTCCTTCACATCAAGTGGAGCCAGATGAGGTGGCTTGGGCATCTCCAGATGTCTCCTGGACGGCTCCCTGGGGAGGTATTTTGAGGACATCCCACTTGGAAGAGGTCCCAGGGAAGACCCAGGACAATCTGAAGGGACTATGTCTCTCGGCTGGCCTGGGAATGCCTCGGGGTCCCCCCGGAAGTGCTGGAGGAAGGGTGCATGGAAAGGGAAGTCTGGGTGTCCCTGCTTAGACTGCTGCCTCTGCGACCCAGCACCAGATAAAGCAGAAGATAATGGATAGATAGATGGATATGATTTAAAAAGCTACTAAAATTGTGTTCAAAGGTGACTAGTACTTCACATAGCACTTTTCATGTGTACATTTTACTTTTTTAGTAATTTAACGGTTAACCACTGCATATAAGTACTAATTTGTGTGGTTTACCTGGTCTTCTGAGTTGGTGTGTCTGTGCAGGAACTTGAGAAAGCTCAGGGGGTCTGTGTTCCTGACCAGAATCAGGTCCCCCGTCCCATCGGCCAGGTGAGCAGAGGGGGACAGGCCCAGAGGACTTTTGGGACATGAGCTGGACATACAGGTTAGGGAAACAGATTTGAACCTGCCTTTGACACTCACCCACTCACCTAAAACAACACAAAAAAAAATAAGAGTTGGGTCTAGAACTGTTCATTTACCCATGTATCTTCAGCATATGGTTTTACCTTCAGGGTCACTGTGGTTCAGTCGGGAGCTGCACAAGGAAGCTGAATCAGCTGAAAGTGGAAACAACCTCTCTGTACTCCTGGAGCAAACACCACATCTGAACAAGTAAAAGAGATGTATTATTTATTTTATTTTATATGGTTAAAATTATGCATTTATTATGGCCTGAGTTGCACCGGGGTGAACAGAAAACATTAGTCTTCCTCTGTTACAATACATTGCTGTCTGTCTTTTCATTTTAAAAGTATTTCCTTTAGGAGCCAAAGACTGTCTCAGACAAAGACACAGGTATTCAGGCCGATGAGAGCCCTCAGCTCACTTTTCATCGGATCAAATTCAACTCCAGTCTCCTTAAACATCTGAGCCACTGCTATAGGTGCTAGAGTAGAGTAACATTAAATAAATGAAATAAGATGAAAGACACTTATTATAATTGTACACATTATTTTTTGCTTTCCCCTTACCCTGGAGCTTCTTAAAACTGATGACAACTTAAATTTTTTTTCATTCAAACTTTATAGTGCAAAGACTTACCCTGCAAGGCAACGTGTTTTGTCTCTGGGGCTGGAGAGCAGTGGGTCAGCAGGTATGTACTGAACTATGCCAACATAGCTCCTGTTGCTCAAATACACCATAGCACCTAAAGCAATAAGTTATTCAAATGCATATGCTATATAATAGTAATAATAATAATAATAATAATGCGTATCACATTTGTTTTTTATTTGTTTGTAAATTTAAATCCTGACCTGAGTAGTCATATCTGAGAGGCCCCATCCAGCGGTGCTTCTCACTCAGAGCCAAAACATCTCCATAAAACCCATAGCCCACTAAAGACACAGAGTAGTGCACTGGGCTGGATGGATGATGAACTGCAGACACATCTAAAGGTTGTGAGTCTCCTGAAAAAGAATGTTGCATATGTTATTAAACTGTAAACACAGTATTTCTAATCACATGTTTTTCATACCTATAATAATGTGTAAAGCTGAGGTAAGAGGGTCTATCACTCCCACTGTAGCATAGCACACACAGTCGGTAGAACCTGCTCTTGTACACCACATGTTACACACAGACACATGATAATGCTTTTATCACATTTAATGACAGGGACATTACCTGCGGGGATGATGCCGACATGAAGAGGGCAGGGCTGCAGAGACACAGTGGGATCATTCTCACAAAGATTTGCCTCTTGTTGCGTTCGCCCAATCAAACCATGAAGTATTTCGCTGAACATGCCATCTCCACCAACACACACCACGCTGTTGGGAACACAAGAAGCTCTATTATGAACAGGGGCTCACAATGTGCTTAGCCGTGATAAATGCTTAAAAACCACAGTGTTGACAGAGATATAACAGCCCTCACCCATCAAAACCGGTCAGGTCCTTTTTTAACAGGTAGTCTCGGGCCTGGTTCGCCCGATGGGTAACTGGAAAAAAAATGTTTATGGTTCTATTTTCTACAATATGTTTACATAAAACACATACACTACATTGGCACAGACTGGACAGTGAAAATGTTTTTACCTATTACATGTGAGCTAATGCCAGCAAGCTCAAACAGTGGTGCAACAATACTATGATAGATATGATGTCCTTTCTTCTTTCCTCCGAATGGGTTAATAAACACTAACAAACGGTTAGGACGTAATGGACCTTCACAAGTCAATAAATAAAAAGTATTGGTTATACATTTTAAAGCTGAGGGCAATGTTATTCAATAATCTAAATTAAAATATTTTCCTTACTATGTGTTTTCAATGCAGTTTGCAGATGCTTGATCCACTGGTCTCGCAATGCTCGACTTGGACAAGTGAATTGGGTTTGGCCTAGTCTCCACAGTACACCAGAGGAGCCAACACGACTGCAGCGCTTGATGTAAAAAACTAAAATAAACAAGAGACAAAGAAGACCACAATGTTATTAAGTAAAAGTTGACACTGAGTAAACATAAGCCAATATGTTTGAGTGCTCTTGTGATCTATTATTAATCTTTCTTTCAGTAAAAATGAGAAGGCTGTCATAGTTTGCTTTTAAGATACGGGTTAACAGGTCAAGAACTAGCTTACAATTTGAAACACAGAAGCACCCACCTGTGAAGTCTTTGTCTGTATCCTCGACCGACTTATGGGGCAGGATCAGCACTCGGCCTTCCTCCACTCCAACCACCTCTGACACTGGCACCTGAACTATATTATAGTTTGTATTAATACACAGACAAAATTATAAACCCAAGCAAATAACTGAATTGACTTATTTAACTTAAAATGAAGGCAATTTTATATATATATATATTATACCAAACCAGCTTCACTGGTTTTCACACATAATCTTTTTTTAAACCGTGATTGCTCCAGCTCATTGTTTTCAGTAAACATCGTGTGAAGGTGCTTTTCGTGCTGGTGCTGTTGGACTTGTTCTTCATGTTTCTGTCAACACTAGAGCGCCTAGGAAACAATACAGACCTGATTTTGACACATGTAGACTTAATGTTGTAGGTCCAACCTTATTAATTCACATGGAAAATGTTTTTCTTCTTCCTTTGTCCATTTGTCATATAGGCCTAAAGATAACTGTGAACTTGTGACAGCTGTCTTGTCCAATAGTGTTGTCCAATAATCTTTGCTGTGCCTATACCATATGTAGGCTACAGACCGAAAAAAAAACTTCTTACTCGTTTTCTTGTTGCGGTTTTTCTTGTCCACCTCGGTCCATTTGAAATGCCAGCCCGTCAGCACCGCACGGTACCGCCTGCTCCGGATCCACAGCGTGGACTCCAGGCGCAGGTCCGTGTCCATCTGGGAAGACGCTTTCATCGACTCCTTTCGCACCCACGTCTACACACTCCTGAGTGGTCACTGTCTGCGCCCTCAAGGTGCCGGGACTCTAGAGCCCCCATTAATCCACGTTGTGTATGTTAATTCATCAGTGTACCTGTTAATATAGTGTACAATATAGCAGCAGGCGGTTGGGTTGTTCTCTAAACATTAAGTTTCCTTGAGTCCCTCCCCTTAGACACCTGCTCTATTTACATGACGCAGTTTATGGGCGTGAGACGAGGCATCCAGCGCACCTCAGTAATTGCTGAGCTACACACAGACTATGTTTTATATATGTGTGTGTGTGTGTGTGTGTGTGTGTGTGTGTGTGTGTGTGTGTGTGTGTGTGTGTGTGTGTGTGTGTGTGTGTGTGTGTGTGTGTGTGTGTGTGTGTGTGTGTGTGTGTGTGTGTGTGTGTGTTTTATTTTTATTTTTTAATACTAAAAAATAAAAATTTATATCCTGTTGTAGGATACTCACACTGTGTGTATCATGGATCTATGAAAATAATGTGAATATTGGATAGAGTAAACCTTTATTTTGAATTCTAGTTTTTAACCCACACCGGAAACGTCCTTCAATTCCTCTTCCTCCTTTTAGCTAGCTAGTGGCGAGCACTGAGCTAATGACTAGTTTCATAAAACATCTTAGTAGTAGTTAACATGAACTGACTGTTCACACTAGTGTACCTTATTTAAGTCTCTCCATAAATCGAATAAACGAGCAATCAAAATGAACATCAGAAACGCGCGGGTAAGAAAAATGAAATGTTGACGAAAGCCATGCTTTTTCTCTGAATGGTCTTTGCTACTGCTAAGCTACTCGTTAGCTCACCCGGTATCACCAGCTTGTGAGTGTTATACATGGTTGTTTTTATTTCTCAGAGTAACATTTGTTTTATCTTAAAACCACAGCCAGAGGACCTTATGAATATGCAGCATTGCAATCTGCTGTGTCTTCCTGAAAACTATCAGATGAAATATTATTTTTATCACGGACTATCTTGGCCTCAGGTGTGTACTCACCCGTGCTTTACGTTGTACATGCAACAAATTAACAACAATGTTTTTGACATGTTAACCTGTAAACATGTAAACATTTTTAGCTGTCCTACATCGCAGAAGACGAAAATGGGAAAATTGTTGGATATGTACTAGCTAAGATGTAAGTTTTTTTTAATACGCACTGAAATGTGTCATTCAGTTTAAATCCATCTCACTTGTCTATTGCAGGGAAGAGGACCCTGATGATGTACCCCATGGACACATCACATCTCTGGTGAGTCTAATATGTGGTGTAGACTACAAAACCATTACCAAAAATTATACCATTAGTTGTTGAGTATTGTGCATATGATTTCCCTTTCAGGCTGTAAAGCGCTCTCACAGAAGACTGGGCTTGGCTCAGAAACTGATGGACCAGGCGAGCCGGGCAATGATTGAAAATTTTAATGCTAAGTATGTCTCTCTTCATGTCCGTAAAAGGTACGTTCAAGATAAGACAAAGTCAAAACTGTCCATTAAAAATATGCTAAACATTTATTATTTTAATATTTCCACTTAAGTAATCGGGCAGCCTTGCATCTATATTCAAACACACTCAAATTCCAGTAAGTACAATTTGAACTGTTTCATTTGTAGTTTCACCTTTGCTAAGAGAAGTGTACATGTGTCAATATATAAACTAACTATTCACCATAGAGTTAAACATTTATACTGTGTATTCTTTTAGGATCAGTGAAGTAGAGCCAAAGTATTATGCTGATGGAGAGGATGCTTATGCAATGAAGAGAGACCTGGCAAACATGGCTGATGAGGTAACAACTCTTTGTCACAATGTTTTAATTGTAGGTTTACAGTCAAATTATAAGCAAGTCCATTTACTCTCTACTTCTCCAGCTGAGAAAGTGTGGTGTGCGGGTGTCAGGACAGGAGGCACCGTCTGGCCAGAGTCCATCAGGATCTGGAGACCAAGAGCGAGAGAGTGAGAGAGACAGCGGAGGAGAGAGCAAAGAGCTGAGTGAAGTCAGCGAGGCCACAGAAAGCACAGACGTCAAAGATTCTTCATCTGATTCACAATGATGCAGACTTATAGCCATTTTTTTAAATTCATCTCTCCTTCATAGTTTTATCTGGGACAGCTAACAAACAGCTAACAAATCCTTTATTGAGGTCTGCTGTCATTAACAAGTCCACTGCTTATTTTCTTATAAGAGTGGGACTGAGCAGTGAAGAAGCTCTTGAGCATCAAGAAGCTTTTTATTAGCATGTTGTACAGGTGGCCCAAAGTTCAGAGACAATTTCAATATTGAAAATGGACAGTTTGAATTAACTAGGTTCTCTATTTAAGATACCAAACACAAATAAATCTTTAAAATACAAATGGTTTGTTATGTGTCTTTTCTGTTCTAGAAATCATCTGATTTAGAGTAGACTTTGGCGACCTCCAGTGGAAGGACTTAAAAATGTAGTTGATAGGGGCACTTGTAACGCTTATGATGTGTACGTGGGGGCTCTTGCTGGGATCCACAATACACACAGGGGCTCTCCACATGTCTGACCTTTAACTTGGCCTGGTGCCATTGCTTGTCCATGGAGAAAGGAGTTTAATTCCATGTTTGCAGGGAAAATAACATCTCCAGGAATACTGCCACCCTCCCTCAGGAAAGTTACATAGTGCACCATCAGTGAAAAAATATGAAACACAAGCTAAATGAATTTCTGTAATTTATCATCTGAGTAATTTAAGTTGAGAAGGACCGTTATGACACCCTCGTCCTACACACAACTTTGTATAGAGTTATAACCCAGTTATTCAAGATTTAAGATTTAACTGCTAAATGACAATCATACTTCATACATGCATTAGGCATTCAGCTCAGCACCTTGAGATCTGAGCGCTCATCTTTGACTTTCCATTGTACACTCTATAGTTATAGGTAGGCCTATATTCCAGAGTGACCCCTCAGAGCCTATAAACTAAAAGTATGTTTTGACAGGTCTGAGGTGGTGGCAGCTGATGTCACTTAGCCTGTGTGTATTCAGAGAGGAGGGACTAATCAGTAAGAACAGCTGGCCTTTGATTGTCTCTGCACACAGGGACAGGGAGGCAGCACTTACTGGCCTTATTGAGCTGAACTGGTAAACTTGGTAAACTTTTGACTCAAGCTTTTTGTGTGTCATTCTTGTATAATGTCATGGCGATGGTGCTGTCTTAAATAAGTGTGAGCGTGTGGTGTGAGAGAGAGAGAGAGAGCAGCCACAGGGTGAAAGACTCTAGACTAAAAGATGAGCGCCACTCCACCCACATCCATCCGAGTCCAAACTGAGGGGGAGGAGACACGGTTGAGCGCTTACTATGTTAATAACCAACATTTTACAGTTGCCTGTTGTCAGAAGAAGCTGCTAGTCAACTCTGCTCAAAATAAGGTAAATAAATAACCTAAATTACTTCCGATTAATTTAGTTATACGCCATATACACGCTGGCGTGATAGTTTGATTATTGCACTTGTAGTAGTCCGTTTCTGATTGCACTGAATCTCTCTTGATCAAAATTGTTTTATACCACAGGTGGATCTTTAATGTGTTTGTGCTCTCAGCATAACTCTATTTTCAGTATGTTAAAGGCATTTGTAGTGGTCACTTAAACTGTAGCTTTTTAAAGGTTATGCACGTCAAGTGCTTCATGGCTGATCACATTGAAGAGGAATGGGAAGTGTAATGTAAGTACGGCCTAAGTTGGAAAAAAATGAGACGCCCTATTTACTGGAAGCCTTTATTAATAATACTTTTGCAAAATAAAGTGTCTGGTGGTGTTGTGCAGAGTGCTGATGCTTAATTTTATTGGTCTGAAAAAGGGAAGTGAAGGAGGAAAGGGAGAGTGTGTGTGACAGTGAAGTGTACGAAGGACAGAGAACTACTCTTCCCTTTTCTGTTTCACAGCTTCTATCCAAATTGATCGTTTTGAGCTATGAATATTTTGCGAAGTTATTTTAATTCTTAATAATCATAGACACTTATTGTACATAACAGTATAATGCACCGTCAATGATATGAAGGAAATGCATTTGAAAATGTATTTCGTTACAGAATACTGGATACCCAAATTAAAATGTATTTTGTAACATATCCTGTTACATGGTCCAATCAGAGGACTGTACTGTGACTACTTGGAATACTTTTATAGTGACTTGAATTATATTATGGTAAAAAAAAAAAACATGATATGGAATAACAAACAGCTTTATGTTTCATGCACTGTTTGTTGTCATTAATTTAATGTATTAATTTTAATTAATAATTAATCTAATTAGAGAATAAAATTTTGCATGTGCACATAAGGCACATATTCTAGTTTTCTTACCAAAAGCGCATAGTTTAAAGACAAACCAATGAATTAAAGTGCCGCCATTTATTCCTTTGATTTAAGGAAAGTAACTGTATTCTGAATACCACCAAATGAAATGTAACTGTACCAGGATACAGTTAACTCAAATATAGTATTCTATACATAACCACAGTCATAGCAACTTATAGTAGTTTTGTAGCCTTATAGTTTTACTCTGCTGGCACAAGTTTGTGTAGCTTTATTGCAACACTGTAATCTCCACATTGTGTGACAAATGAAGGTTGACCATATCTTTAATATCGCGTTACTGTAAATTCACCATTACACCTGTAGTAACAGTCTTTGTTATTTAAAGAACATGTGACATCAAATGATATTCAAACTTTTATCCGAACACTGTACTAACCTATAAGGAAGTATTAAATGACCCTTCTTCTGTTTGGGTTAAATTAGTTTGGGTAACATTTGTCATCAATTCTAAAATTTGCATTGACAATGGGTATGAACTAGATTCTTTAGATGGTTAAATGTCATCCTATTTTGAATCAATATTTAAAAAGATATGCTGCTTGTTACTGTCTGCCTGTATGCAGCACGTGCCCTCTCAAGCTTTGGCAATCATCCTTGTGAAACTACTTAAAGTACTACAACAAACGTATGCTAGGGTTGTATGTCATGTGGTTCAGCCTATTTAAAGTTGAAATGTTACTAGATCTATTTTGAGTTGCGATCTAAGTCAGTCAGAATACACTCTGGGTAGAGGACAGCAGCACATGCCAACTGGTTTGCTAGTTGTTTAGCAGGAACACAACAACGAAGGGCGAGTTTCACGACATGTGTTACAGTAAGATGAATGAGTGCTTTTTATTTCTGAGGTGAGAGGTTATTTATGCTGTGGGACAAGATCAAGATCTAAAGACATTTGCAGATGCATTTAAGCATGTTTTGTGTGGCAGTCTGAAACAGGATTTCACACATTGAATGCACTTCAAAAGGCATGATGGTTACTGCATGGTTCTGAAAAACATCTTTTTCACAGAATTCCACCCAGTTGGGACAACAATGACTTCCCATGTGAAACTTAGAAAAGACAAGTTTGGAATAGTAGACTACGACATACAAATCAAAGGTAACTTATTGATAGATAATACAGCAAAGTTCTTATTGCAGAAAAAAAATCACACATTCACATTCATTTCTCACCCCTGACATTGGTTTCACAAAGCGTTTTGCAATATGTAATGTTACTGACGGAGTTAACGTGTGTGTCAGAGGTGCGATGCCAGCTCATAGACCAGCTGAAAGTGTTAGACCTGCAGCTTGAACAGAAGAGCCAGCAACTTCAAGACCTCACAGAGTATCTGAGGAGAAGGGGGGAGATTGAAAATGAATACGCGAGGTCGCTGGACAAACTTGCTGAAAGATTCACTTCAAGAATCAAAAGGTAATGCCTGCCACACACAAACCTGTTAATATACATACATGCATGTAAGTAATAAATGAATCAGTTATTCAACTGTCCCACAGAAAAGACCCAAGCAACCATTCAGTGAGCAACAGTTGGGTTGCTCTTCTGTCCCAAACTCGAAAAGAAAGTAAGGACCACAACCTACTGAGTGAGACCTGCAGTACTTTCATTATTCAGCCTCTCAGTCACTGCCTAGAATACACGCAGCGCCTAGCCAAAAAGGTATATTACATTCTGTGTATATTGCATGATATTTTGCATTTTGTTGGCACATATACAGAAGGTCACAATTTACGTATTGCTTGCACTAAGACCTCTAGTATGTACACAAATTTCTATAGGAAGTGTATTTGTCATGAACTGAAGAAGCTGCTTGGATGAGCTGCAAAACACCTTCAATTAACAAACTTTTGTCCAGTTGACAGAATTGAATTTTTATTTTTGCTTTCTATAGGAAATGTGTATACATTTAACAATTTAACATCTCTTTCCATCACTGCTACTAACATTGTTGTTTTTTTTGTCTCAGAGTCGGGATATTTGCACAAGTTTACAGGATGGCCTACTCAAAGTCACCACGGAGATGCAGACTGTGAGTGTGAACCATCTGAGTGATTTTACATTTTCTGAAGACAAGCTAACTCACTGTTGACTCATTGTTGTGCTTGTGCAGGCCTGGCGGACATACTACCAGTACCACTCTGATTATGTGAGCGCAGAGGGGAAGTTGAAAGAGGCAGAGAAACAAGAGGAGAAGCACAAGACTGGAGCCAAGAAACTAGAGCGGTTGATAGAAAAAGTGTGACCAAGTTGTTTCTGACATTTATGTATGCAATCTTTATGCTATATCTTTATAATAGCTTTATGTCTTTTTTTTATGTAGAGGCAGAGTAAGGTAAAAGACATCTACTTGAAGTGCAGTAAGGCCAGAAACGATTACCTTCTGAACCTCTCTGCAGCCAATGCCTCCATGAATAAGTACTATCTCCAGGACATCTCCACTCTTATAGATGTGAGTTTTCATCTCATTGCAGTCTGCCACCTGTGTATCATACATAAACATATGTTTGTTTGACAGTGCCTACTAATACCTTACTGTAGTGCCTTTCAGAGTTGTATGCATATTTTTTCTGTAAATACCTTTTATTACCCATAACTGACTCTTTCCTTCTAATATTAATTTCTGTTTGTTAAGCAAATCCAGAACTTGACTAAAATGGGGAAGTAGTTTGAAAGTTCGAAGGAATACATTTATACTTAGAGCTTAAAACAGAAGTGGGGGCATGTAATGTCTATATTTAAGCAAACATAACTCTCATACTGTTTCTTAGCTATGGTTTGGTATATTTATGTAAATTATACACATATACTTTAATGTGTAAAGCTTGTCATGGTTTGATTTACTCTTTGTGGCAAATGAGTCCCTTGTATATTAGTAGATCTCTAGTTTGCTTAAATCATGCATAAACTCCCTCCCTTCCCTAGTGTGCTGACACTGGGTACCACCTCACTCTGTCCCGGGTAATGCAGGCCTACCTCTCCAGTCGGGAGAAGGCCCAACAGAACCTTACCACTGGACTCCAGCAGCTCCAGGACGTGGTGTCTGCCCTGGACCAGAGCCATGACCGGGACACTCTCCTCCAGGACCACTATAACGCCTTCTCCATGCCCCTGCGCTTCAACTATCAGCCCCACGATGGAGACCAGGTGACCCTGTTTTGTCTGTATCCTTTTAAATGGTTTCAATGCATGTTTTCACACAAAAACATTTTTGTCCAGGTTACTGAAGTGAGTGCAGAGAGTGAGATGATCTGTGAGCTTGACACCAGATTCAAACAGATTCAAACCAGGCTCAAAGCACTGACTGATGCCACAGAGGAGGTAAAGAGCCATGCTTGTATTTTATATAATATTGTTCAACGATGTATTTACTGTCTACTTATTCAAAATAAACTGGTTCAACATTGTTTTCCAGGCTAGTAAAAACATGTCTGCAGCCCAGGCATTGTTCATTGACTGTATATGTGAAGATGACCTGGAGCTCAGTGCACTGTCTCATGAGAGCAGCTCAGAGAGTGTTTCTGTCCGGCCCAGTGTGGCCCGCCGTAAAGCCAGCTTGCAGGAGCTGGAGACTGTTTACTTCACTGTGAGTTACACCAACTGTTTTTTAAAAAAAAAAACTAAATGTGAACTCTGTTAACTGCTCTTTTGCTGTCACATTTGTTCCAGAGAGTGAAAGACTTTCTCGTGAACACTTCCCTTGTTTCTAAACTGCAAGCTAAACATGACTTGCTTAAAGTAGCCTTGGAAAAAGGTATCACTTCCATATTTCTCATAAATTAACTATTTCAAGTATATACAAATCTATTCTGGAAACGGTTTCCACAGAACAAATTTTAAATGTTTTCCTTTTTTAGCCGAACCAACCAATGGACATCAGCCAAGGTACTAAGAGTTAACAAGGTTTCTGTAAAAAAAAATTTGTGTCAAAATGTTTATTTATTTCACAGTTTCTGTAAAATTGCAGACACAAATTCATGCGTGTGAGAAAGAATCCCTCCAGTGCAAATCTGATGCACAATCAAAAACTTTTTAAGGGTGACATGCTGTCGTTCATCAAGGTAAATTAAGGAGCATATTTATTTTTCTAATTTACTAGTAGACATGTGTACAATTTACAGTTTTCTTCTTCACCTTCCAGGCTTCAGGCCAACAGATACCAATAGTTGTTGAAAGCTGTATTCGCTTTATTAATCTGAATGGTATGGTATGGCAATAACACATTTTACTGATGCAATTTAATTTCAAAATGAAAAACATGTATATCCTAGGCCTTCACCATGAGGGCATATTCCGGGTTCCAGGATCCCAAATGGAAGTGAACAATCTGAGGGATGCGTTTGAGCAAGGTAGGATGTAATGGCCAGGTTTTCAGTACTTTAGTGGCTCTCTCTGTTGAGCAATAATAATGTTGGTCAGTGTGTTGTGGGCTCCCCCTTCAGGAGAGGATCCCCTGACTGTACAGAGGTACAACCTGGACTCAGTGGCTGGAGTTCTGAAGCTGTACTTTCGAGGTCTGACAAATCCACTGTTTCCTATTGAGAGTACAGGCCAACTACTGGAGTATGCACGTGAGTGTGTGGTGGGATTTTAACTTAAGTGAGTGAATTATTGATAGAAACCTTTTTTATTTATTTTCTTCCTAGAAATAAAGAATGAAGCTGAGAGAGCAGCTCAGCTTAAGACAGTTGTTACTTCTTATCCAGAACCCATCATCGTTGTCATGAGATACCTTTTTGCATTCCTTCATCAGTAAGTGTAAATTACAGGTCAACCCCGACAAACTTTGGCCATACAATCTTAATAGTTTTTCAATTGGGTGAAAAGCAATACATTTCATTTGCATGTGTTTTGTGTGATTAGTGTGTCTCAGTACAGTGACGAGAACATGATGCAGCCGTACAATCTGGCTGTGTGTTTTGGCCCAAGTCTTGTGCGTGGGGAAAATGAGGACGATGTGGTCACACTGCAGCCTCAGATCAATGACCTTGTGAAGAGCATCATCCTTCTGCATGAGCTGATCTTCCCCAGTCAGTGTGAAGTCCCTGGGCCCATCTACGAGAAGTGCATGACTGAGGAGGATGGCTGGTAACGAAACAGATAACTGACTGAATCAAGAAATACTAAGCATGGTGTTTATTGTCAGTTTATGTAAAGTATCCAGTTGCTGGGTTTCAGGTGGCATCTCAACCTTCTATAGGACAATAATATTTAATACAAGGGTTGGGAGGGGGGCAGCTAAAATGAAAACTGCTGAAATGAAAAATCCGGTTTAAAAAAAAAAAAAAGGTTTATAAGGAGTTATAGAGTCTAGTCACTGATACAAATGATCATGTTGAGCATTTGTGAATTTAACATTTGGATAATTCATGGCAAAGAATCCTCCTTCTCCCATCTGAAAGTATGACATTATCACATTTTATAATCTCATTTTAGTGAACCTGTAATGGAAGAAGAGGGAGAAGCTGTAGAAACACCCCAAGGTACAGATTGTAAGTTTTAGATAAATGTTGCATGCTGCTGTAATGGCAAATAAATGTCTCCATTTTGCTCCACTCCAGATTCAGATGTGGGTCTCTCACTTGATCAGACTTCTGTGCCACTTCAGAAAAAGGCAGATAGACCCAGAGCCAACAGTTGTGCTTCAAGTGAGCAAATCAAGAAGGCAGCAGCGTCAGCAGGGGGCAGCATTGCTTCAAGTGGAAAATTTCTTCAAATTCCATTAGGACCTCAACACAGGCCAAGACGTGTCCACTCACCTGGATTTGTAAGCAGAGAGTAAGTTATACAAAATGCCAATTTTCACAGCTGACATATGTGTGATGAATAACATTAAGTTTTCTTTTTACAGATTACGTGAAAGTGTATCCAGTGAAGATATTGTACAGCTAGACAAGGTTTGTTTTCTACTTAAATGTGTGAAAAATCCCTCAGTTGTCCAGGGAGAATCCAAGGCAAAGGTGCATCATCTTTTCTGGATGCTGGTCCACAATATGGCATTTAACAATTTCTGTCTCAGAGTAAGAATGCTCTTGCTCCTGAAAAAAATACATGTTTTTCAATGTAATTTTGGTCAATAAAACACCTATAATTGGAAAAAATAGTCTAAATATGAGCTTAAAGCCTTCCCCATGGAGACAAAATATAACAGATTCCCCACCAGAAAAGTTACATGATGTACCTTTTTGAAGCAGTGTGTGCATAGATTTTAAAATATTTATTCTTTCTACATATTTTTGATATAGTTTATACAAATGTTGCTATAGAGACATAACAAAACTTGCTTTGCTCTTCCTCTTTCCCATTACTACTTGTTTATTTTTTCAAATAGGATATCTGTCGTCAGATGGACTCAGTCTTCAAGGAGCTTCTCGCTCGACAAGCCTCACAGGATCCACCCAGCACCACCTTCTCTCCCTCTGCCCAAGCTCTCCAGAGGAAAGGGAGGCGGGTGAGAGGAGCAGGCCTGTTTAAGTCTGCAGACCCTGTGGACTGAAGTGGCTGACTCCATAGATGACAAGACGGATGATACAAATGTAAACGGAGGTGTAAGGTGACTGCTCTGACAGCGGCTTTCAGCACATGTATTTTTAGACAACTAAGATCACTGAGCCCCTACTTGTCTTTTCATGAGGAGTCTACCTTCTTAGAAGCACTTTGACTGAACCTCGTGCAACAACAGACCCTGTCCATTGATTATCTGCAGACCAATGCACAAAACTGGATTACTTGAAATGCATTTTTAAAAAATCAGTCACCAAATGTTATCATTCTTAGTCCTGAATCTTGTACTTGCCTTGATATGAACCAAAATGTTTAACTTGCTAACCATCTCAATAATTAGCAGTTTGTCTGAGTACCATAAAATAAATATGTTGTTTATACTGACCCTGTGTGGTTGTCATTTTACAGTACTATAGTAGGTACTACTAAGTACTAAGAAAATTATGACTCGATTTTATATATGCACATTTAGTAAGGCCCTCTTATTTATTTTGTCATAGTTGTTGGTTGAAAGCATGACATGGTTTCTGCATGGCAGGTCTTTTAGTCCATAATATAATTCTGCTGACTTTTTAGAGTTAAATGTTTAACATTGCTGTGTATAGAACTTTGGAAACGGTCTTATTTATAAAATGTGCTATAAAAATAAACTTGAATTGGATATTTGGGCAAATGAAACTGTCCAAACATGGACTTTATTATAAAGCATAAGGCCTTGTAATGTTTTTTTTTTGAGCTGACGTGGTCGACACATGACAATCCCATAATCCTTTGCTCGGTGAGTGGCCACGTCATTGGTGCGCATGCGCTGTGGTGTTGCGGCGCTGCGCTGAGGTGGACTTCTTTCTTTCAGTCATTGAAGAAATCACCAAGCAGCAGTTTACCTTGACTTTAGAGAGCACTGAGGACCACCAAAACCCCCGACGCAACCATGATCCGGCTAGCCGCTTTCCTCGCTCTGCTTGTGGCTGTATGCTCAGGTATGTTTGAGTTTGGCAGGTTGGATTTAGGTAAGGTTAGCGTTAATGCTAGTTAACTTACACAGCTCCTGTGGACCAGTCCATCAGTCAACCTCTGTTTTCATTCATAGTGGTTCTATTGGCATGCTTCGAGTTACATTGTGTCTAAATGTTCAAACGAAGTGCAATATGATTAAATATTTCACAGGAGAGAGCTGCACAGACCCTGTCATTACTCCATCGGCCTACACCACCTCAGACGCAGTCATCTCCTCAGAATCTGTCTTCATCGTTGAGCTGAGCCTGACCTGTGCAAACGGGGCTCAGGTAAACGTTATGTCCAAAGCCCTATTACTATATAATAAATATCAGCACTCACACTCATCTGTTTGTTCCCAGAGTGTGACTCTGTATGCAGATGTGAATGGCAGACAGTTTCCTGTGACCAGAGGCCAGGATGTTGGCAAATATCAGGTGAGACAATAGTTCAGATGCAAATTAATGACACATGACATGTCTACTCGATTTACATAGTAATTAAATAGGACAGATAACCAAGTATTACTCTGTATCAATTCAAAATTGTTAAATCCTTAAATGAAAGATGAAACTTTGAGTTACATAGTAGAATTTGCCTGTCCTAATTTAGAGAGCTTTGTGCTGTGTATTAGTAAACATTCAGTTGATGCAAGCCTTGCCTATCTAAATAAGGGTTGGCAGATTTCTGTAAAATTAGATGCATTGTTGTTTTGAAGATCTGCAAATTTTGGATTTTGAGAATATAGAAAAGCTCATTAAAATTAAAATAGGATATTTCTGCAATATTGTAGGCAACTTTAAAACCCTCTCACATTATTTTGAAACTTAAGGTCCTACATTACGCAAAATTGACTATTGTGAGCTTTAAACCGTGTTCCTCAAAAACATACCTGGATGTTGGAGTAATCCTTTATTGATCTGTCTACATCTCTAAAGCTCAAAATGCTCTGTTCCTCCTTGTGATGTCATGTAGTGGTAGTTTTCAAATTGAGATTGGCAGCCAGGACTGAAATGATCCAAATCATTCTAATAAAGGTATATGAAGTAAAAAAAAATATATATTTTTTTTTTAAAAAGTGGAGCGCATTCTGTACATGACATCACAAGGTGGAGTGTTTTCTGTTTAAGAAGAACTAAAGAACTAAATATGAAGGATTTGTGTGTTAAACGTGTGAACACAACACAGCACCAAGTATGTTTTTGATAAGGAAACAACATTATAACATGGATCAGAAAATAGTGTAATATGGGCCCTTTAAAGCTTAAGTTATACATTTGATGAGATGTTTTAACACATTTGTTGGATTGACATAATATTGCCTGAATGTAGTTATTGAGTCATAAATGTCAATATCACCCACCCTTCGAGATATTAACTTGAGTTTATTCGCTTTCAGGTTTCATGGAGCATGCCTCACAAACAGGCTGCCTCTGGGACATATCAGGTGAAATTTTTCGATGAGGAGTCTTACAGTGCTCTGCGCAAGGTTTGTGATCAAAGCATTCATGTTAAAATTACTTGCCCCAAACTGATTTATTAATTTCATCATCTATTTTAAGGCCCAGAGAAATAATGAAGATGTGAATGCCATTCAACCCCTTTTCTCTGTCAACATTGACCATCGGGTAAGATTTAATGAGAAAAACTATTTTAATTATAATCATTTATACTTATTGCATTGTTTTAGAATATTGTTGTTGTGGTCTGGAGGTATTGTGCTTTAAACATATTGTGTCCATTAATCTTTATTCTTTCTGTAGGGTGCCTGGAGCGGCCCATGGGTATCAACTGAGGTTGTGGCAGCACTCATTGGCATCTTGGTCTATTACTTGGCTTTCAGTGCAAAGAGCACCATCCAGGCATAAATTGAACACTATTGTTTTAACCACTGGATCATGATGAGATCATTATCAAAGACTGGTTTCTTAACGGAACTTATCAACGTCTTTAAGCAGTGTGGCTTGTTGTCACTGCCACAATGTACTTGAACAAAGAAGTTCTGCTGCAGTCTTTGTACTTTTTATTCAGACTGTGTCTGTGTTCTCAGTCTTGGCCCTTGACAGCTTTTCTTTTGTGGATTTCTCTTATCAGAACATATTTTTGTAATGTTTATTAAATCTGAACCAATAAACCCGGACCACAAGTTTGACAGTAATGTAAACCACCTGGATGTACTGATCAAAGATCAAAAATGTAAAAGTATTTCAATAATGCGAGTGCACTGGCTGATGCAAAGGGGCTGAAATGTCTCTTCCAGTAAAATTAATAAATGTTTTTTTTTTTTTTTCATTTTGCAATGCTTCACGTATTTCTTTATGTGATGACAACAGACTGCCTCCTTTTTTAGAGAAATATTCCTTTCCTCTGAAGATGGTCTTATAGATTAATGCCATATGTTTTTTGTCACTGTGGAGATCTGCTCATTGTTGCTTGTGGTGAGATTTCAGAGTCTAGACAACTCTTGAGTGTACTGACCTCATTTAGATCAAATGACCTCCCTAGACAACTGCTAAAGGGTGAAAGATGCTTGGCCAGATATTCTCTTAAACTGTTGTGAGTCCTTCTTTGGAGATGTAAATTGATACAGTTGGTAGGATTTAGCCAATAAAGCACTACATGCTCCAAATGAAAATGAACCTATACATAGATTGCAGTCATATTTGTCTGTATGGTTGACTGAACCCTGGTGGTAAGCAGGCTCATTCTGGAAAGGACTCAGAATGACATGGGTGTAGAACTGGGGGGTAAAGGATACTGTTTACGCAAGCCAAGTGCAAGGAGGGACCACTCATAAAGTCTGTAAATTGTATTTTAGACAGTATGTAGTATGGGCCCACCATGATGATTTGTACTGGGCCCAGAATTAGATAGTACACCTCTGCAGAGTGGACATGACTATTTCACTCTGTGGCATTCCTAGATAGTCGAGGAGGCAGAGACACATAAACTTATGCAGGATCTTCTCCGTATGAAACACTCCGGTTTAAATTATGATATAGGTGGGTAGCTTTTGTTAAGAATCCTGTTTTAACAGCACAGGTTGCAATGACAACAGTTGACCACACAGAGGCAGCCGCAGCATTATGGTCCGCTGTCAAGTAACGTTTTACACTCAGTCTTTCAGCTGCTGGCGTTGTAATAAAATAGTTTTATTGTCTATAACAGTTACTTTTCACCACTTAGATTTGGCATATGTATGGATCCATTTAGTGTGAGGTACCTTTCTCCTATAAACTTGTGCCCGTGTATTTCAGCCTTTTTCCCCGTACAGAAGAGCACACGCACACAAACCTTCTCTGCTACATTCTCAACAAGATACAGGCTAAGTTTTCACTGGCTCCTCGAGACTAATGTTGTATATGAATAACATGACCCTCCAGCATAAACACTGCACAGAGTCGGGAGAATTCGGCAACTTTCTCCAATGAGAGCATTTCTGTCATTGTTAAGAAATGCGCCAAGTCTCTAAAGGGGGTGAGCACATGTCAGCCTCTGTCTTCTATCACCTTGGCAGCGGGAAACAGAGACGTCATGATGCTGGCTGTTCACAAAATGCACACAATCCCCCTGATAGCCTATTAAATGTGGGAAGTAAGGTTAGCAAATATCATAGGACAAAGTGCTGTTTACTGTTTACTTAGCAAACATATCGTAGGCCTATTAGACAAGTGCTATTTAAAGGGCCCATATTGCCTATTTTCTGATCCATGTTATGATGTTGTTTCCTCATAACAAACAGACCTGGAGTTGTGTTCTGTTTCATTCACACATGTTTAACACACAAACCCTGCACATTTAGGTTGAGTTCTTCTCTCAAACGGAAACACTCTGTTCCACCTTGTGATGTCATATGGAAATACAGAAGTGCTTCACTGGGTTTTTAAACTCCACATACCTTCACTAGAATCACTTGGGTAATTTCAACCCTGGCCACCAATCTCTCTAATTTGCCTATCTCTCTAAAATGTAGCTGTTTACTTGAAAATTACTGCTTCATGACATCACAAGGTGGAACTCTGGATTTTGAGTTTTTGAAATGTAGACAGAGTAATAATAAAAGGTTACTCAAACATGTGGTAATGAAACAAAACAGAACTCCAAGTATGTTTTTGATGAGGTACCAACATTCTAACATGGCAAAAAACTCATAAGAGTCAAGAGAGTTTGAGCAATATCGGGCCTTTAAAGGCACTGCACAAATAATAGGCCAATATTAAGGATTTCTTTCCTTCAAATCATCAAACTAAAACTGTGTTCACTGTTCCAGTTACACACAGGCTGAGGAATGGTAGCCTCATTGTTGCCTTTTAAATTATGTAAAAGGATGTTCATGTTTTTCATTGCATGCTCTCCCCTCCCTCTTTCAATATGACCCTCATGACCTACCGTATGAAACTGGCAATAAGTGGGAGATAAAATGTGAAGAAAATACTGAATAAATAAAAGTCTAAATAGAGATAATAAAGAAATAGTGCTGACCCTAGTCTTTCCTGTGCAGGGGTTTTATGGCTTAGCCCAGGTTCACATGAATGGGGCAGTATCACTTCCTTGCCCTCCCATTGTTTGAAATAGTTTTATCATTTGGTTTCAGAAATAAACATTTAGAGTCATTTGATAGCTTGAATGTTGGCACAGTGGCAACAGTCAGTTCGTGTACAAAATTCTTTTATTGTCTATAAATAAAACTCTTGTCGGGCTTCTGCTTTTCATGACAGTTGTTCTGGCATTTGCAAGTGAATTGGAAGAGACTACTTCCTATAGTGTTTATGGTTTTTGATGACTGTACTGTAAAATACACATTTAGAATTGTGTAAGGTAAACAGCAAAAGGTGAATATGGGACATAAGAATTTTCAAAAGTCTAACTTCATGCAATTAAATAATTTATAGAGAAAAAATACATGAAGTAGGACTGGATTTGGAGTGTGCTTTGAGGCAGAGTAAAGGCTGACACCACACATCAGACAGACTGAGATCAGTAATGTGGAAGGAGGAGGAGTTGCACGAATGATTCCCACATGAAGTCACACTCTGTCCCACATACAAACACTGTTTTTACTGTTTTCTTCACACGTTTGTAGAGTCCAAAAACAAATGGCGGGCAAACCTAATAATCAGAAAACAGACTGTATCTCTTCGCGCCTGCTTCCCCTTCTAACCACTGAAATAATAACACATATTGTTCTGCTTAAGTGTGGGTGTACACTGGCACTCATGCGCTGAAAAAATCGAAATATAGGCTTTCTTAAGTAGTGTTTTTAGAACATATTCTAAAAATACGTACTTCTGGATTGTACAATTGTATACTTCCTCTTAAGTCAGAGAATAAAAAGGTACAATATGTAACCTTTCTGGTGGAAGTCTAGCACCTGCTCGTCTCCAAGAGATGTTATTGCTTTTCCTGGAGTGTTCCATAGTTAAACTCACCAGTGTTGTATTTATTCAATTAAGAAAAATGTCTTGAAAAACATTAAATCTTACTGTGAGGTTATGACACCTGCTTGTGTCCTTGGAAATAGATACATTTAATGCAACACTGTGGAACATTACAGACAAAGCAATCGCATCTTCAGGGAGATGGTGGACCCTTTACCAGAAAAGTTTAAAATATGTTTGGGCAACAAAAGGGTAGGACACTCTCTGAGGCACTGACACTGATAGTGGAGAGAGGCAGAGGAGGAGAGGTGGAGAGGAGCAGATGAAGAGTCTTATAGGCTGATGGTTCTGCTGCTGTGGATAGTGCTTTCATATAATTCGTTTGTGTGCTTCATTATTATTATCACATATGTGTAATGTTTTGTCTTGGTTGTTCATATTCCTGATGGACTGCAGTGATTGCATTTGCAAACAAGAGTACTAATGAAATGCCTTGAACCTTGAATTACACACCTGCTTCTACAGTACAACAATGTGGTTATGGAAGATCCAGTTGGTATGGAAAATGATTTGCATAAAAGCAATTATAACAATTACAACACCTATATACTGTATTGGTTAGTAGAAGATTTTGTACTTTCACATCCACTTTTACTCGAGTACACAGAAATACCTCTCCCCCTGTACTTTCAATGACCCATTCCTCTTTATCCTTCAGTCTTTGAGCATATTCCTGAGACATAGATAAAGTCAATAACAGGCCCATATGTGAGTGCTTTTGTCTTCTTTGGGCTCCCTGATAATCCTCTTTCCAGTCGAGTGGCCCTTTACGAAACATCCTTATACGGACAAAAGCCCCAATGCCTTCACTATAACATGAGACACTTCTGCACATATCACACCCAGGGGTCAGCCATGTCTAAGGACTTATTTTCTTTGTGTTCAGCTCAGAGCTGGCAGTGGGCCCTCATGTTAAACGGGAGCAGACACATCACAACAAACCAGCAGTGCACGGCCCGTAAATCTTGTAAAAGCATGTCAACTGAGTCTCCATAAAATACGTCTTTTATCAGGCTCTGGCCACATACCATTTTTACTATGAAGAAATTGCAGGCTTTTATTTTATTGTGAATACTAGGCAGTCTTTAGGTAATCAAAACAAGGTGGGCAAGGGTGATAAACCCCAGCTGATCGCATACAGCATGGGAATATTTCTCCTCTCATGCTCGCTCAGTGCATAGATTGTATGTATTGAAAATATCAAACGTGTGACTATATTTGGCCAAAACCGCTGCTATCAAACTCTCGATCAAACATAGTATATAATTGAAAGGGATGTGAGAAAATAAATGGCTGGGTTCTACAAACACCTCAAATAAATTCAGCACAGTTTAATATAGGCCTACTGTTTGGAAAGACTCTTGTGTTGGTAATGGGAGAAAGTCTAATAGAATGTTTTATTGTGTTACTGAGTAAACACATACTTAACAGCAATTTGATTTTGGAAATTATAATCATTAAATCTCTTTTTGGATAAGTATTCAATAGTAGAAGTCATAGTAACAATTTTGGCAACTCCATTAACATTATAAGCATGATTTCAAAAGCTTCATGCTGTGAACAGAAAAAGTGATTTCCAAAACAAATGGTTAGATGCTTTTGAAAAAAATGTATTTTTCAAGGATTTTTGTGGTTAGGAACAGTAGTTTAGAGAGGTTAGAGAGGTTAGTTAGAGAGGCTACAAAATCCTATGCCTGTACTGATGTTTGATGCTGTAGTAAAAAACATGAGGAGGTTGCATAAGACAGTAGCTGAGGTACAAGCCCTTTACCTCCCAGTGTCTGTAAGCTCGCCGAAGGCCAGATCGGTTTAGGGCTTCTCCACTTAAGAAATGCAGACTCATGTAAGGCTCCTGGCTCCAGCAGTGATTTACACTGACTTTGTTGGAGGCTGGGGGGTGCCGCCATTCTTTGGACCACTCACTTGGACCATTTTTAACCAGCATTGGATTGATTTGCCAGAGGGGAGCTCACCTAGTCCCCTGCCCCATGTCACAGCATCAGAACAGGGTCGTTTATTTCACTTACACCCCATGATGGCCCTGACAAGTAACTACGGCTCGTTGTAATGAAGAAGTGACCTTGAGTTTAGATATCACTTAAATCCAGACTGCAGTGAGCATCAGGACTGAGGTGGCACCTGAGGTACACTGACAAACACTATACTGTATCTCTCAGTCTGAAGCATCAATCAACACACTGACATCAGAGGAAATGGGATTTGTAGAAAATGATGGTGAAGGCTCACAGCATTACTTAAGGATTTAAATTAGTGTTAGACAGCATCTACAATATTGACTTTAAATGTCTTTTTTCAGGCAGATTTGCCTTTTTTCCAATGTAATATAGTCTTGCATATGAATTCTCATTCGTATAAGCCTATTTTATACAGACTTAGTACTGACTCAGATCATACCCCATATTCACTGCACCCAGTCTTTTCTCTATTATTAGTCTATTTGGATTTTGGTACTGAATATTACAAAGTGGTTTGGCTTGAACTCTGTTCAGAACTTCCAGAAGATGTACAAGTGACAAACATGATTTGCCTACTTTTTAGTATTTTAAAAGGTGCACCTGAACTAGTTTTTTGTCCCAAATAATAAAGAATCCTTTCAGGGTTGAGACAGTGTAAACGTCAGCATAGGGCAGAGCTGCATTTGCCCCACGGGCATCTTTGTCAAGTTTGTTGGGTAATGTTAGTAATATCCATTATACTAGTTTAACTTCCTCCTTTCAGATTTTACAAATAGCAAGCAAAATAGGTAAGTAAGTTATAATTAATTTTGTCAAGCAGCCATGCAGTAACATCCACTTTAAGAAAGTACACTGCAGCTCAAAAGTTCACGTCCTGCTCTGTAAAAGCTTAATGGACCTAATGGATCTGTGTGCAAGTGAAGTCTGGCTCTTTCAACACACAAGAATCATCATCTGAACTTTCACCTTCCTGACAGGAAGAGGAATACACAGGGACACCCTGAGGCTTTGGGAGAAGTTAGTCTATTTCCTGAAGAAACAAAAGTCGGTCCCGGAACGCTGTTGCCATGAGCCATTCATTTGGCACAAAATCAAAGTGTCCCATTGGTGTCAGGGGAGCAGATGTGGATAGATGTGCTCCAAGGCCCAACTGCAAGGCCAGGATGAGGAAGAGGTGAGGCTTGCACTACAACTCACAATCGAGCCTGTCAAGCACAACACTCTGCTGCTCATACAGATGTAAAAATGGAGAAAACTGATGGGCGAAATGTAGACCTCATTACTTCTAGAAAAAATGACTTATATGTGAAATACATAGCCTGGTCATATACAGTTATATAGCCTATGGACTAAGCATATCCACAGTTCTTATGTAATAAGTAAAAAAAGAAACTCCATATTTTCATTTCAAGTAAGCAGTTGATGGGCAGAATACCTTTATGCACAAAAAGTGATATCAAAACTGTACATACAGACATACAGTACTGAGATTATCATGATATTTACAAGTAATAAATAGAGCATTATAGAAATATGGCTCATGGTGTGATATAACATGTCCAAACATCCTGCTGCGGACGGTGGTAGCTCCATCTAAGAATAACAGTGCTGACATCATTTGAACATTAATCCAGAGGAGGAGGGAGCCCCTGCTCAAAATGTCAGCAGACGTTACAGGCACTTGGACTGACAGCACTTGTCTCTCTCTAAACACTGACATGAAGTGACTGAACATTGGCTACGGCCACACTACAGCTCTATTGTACAATGTCAATGCACAACGTATACTTCACTCCAATGTTAATGTGCAATGTCATTTTAAAAGTTTTCACATTTTTCTCATATGTTATGCATTTTCTACACTGTTGTAAAGGTTTTAAATTAAAAAAAAGAAATAAATGCAGTTTGCTCTTCAATCTGTAATCCACTTCTTATGTGATACAATATATTTCTAGTTCTACAACTACTTAATACCTAAATCTGAACAAATGTATTTTATTTGTTGTAACGGCTACCATGGGAGGCATCTTACACACAATAAGAAAAACTGCATTGTGGGACAAGTTGGAGGTCAAAGTGAACATGGTCATCTGCTTTTAAGACCTGAAAAACCCTTTTGGGACAGACTCTAGCTAAATGAGAATCTTGCACTTACATTCAGTATATAGCTAGCTTACAAATAATAATGTGTCATGTGCCACATGTTTAAATAAATACACTTTACACTGTCATTACTATACATGGAATGGACCTGTTTCCTGCCTGTGCACCTAATGTCCATGTTTGTCCAGCAGCTAACAGGAAGGTCATTGGTGTACCTCAAACTTGTGTTTGTACAGAATACAACACATAATTGTGTCCCGGTTGGTTGCGGAAACCTGGATTGTTCATTTGTATGATTATGAGCTGTATGGCCCTCTTGCATGCGCATGTTTGCGTGTGTGGCGATGCCCCCTCAACGTCTTTGCATTGATCCGTGGAGCTGCATTTTCTCAAGGTGCAATGTCTGTCCTCACTGAGCAGCTCTGCCCACTGCTAAAACAAATCACTGTTGTTCCTTCAAACCGGATTCCTCCTAAGAATATTCATTCAGCTCAAAGCATTCACCTCTAATCTACTTTCTTTGATTTAACAAAGTTTGTTCACATTATTAGATTTCTGCAGCCTTCTGGGGCAGCTCCTGTAACATGTGTGTCATCCTCCCTTTCCTTGTTTTTATTACGGCCATACCTCAGACGCATCTGCTGCTTTGCACATTAGGCGTGGCCAAAGACCATTATGAAGCGTCTGGCCGTGCATTCCTGTAGCACTGCTCACTCAAAAGGCCAAGACGCTTGTTGGTATTAATGCAAAAGGACTGGCTCTAATGCAGCTGAGGTGAGAATGTCAACATTCAAGGGCATCTCGGATTGCAGATGCTGTCACAGGCTGTTTCAGCGTATCCTCCGGTGCCCCCATAATCTAGTGCTGACATCTTCAATGACACCCTTCACCGTGCCGAGGAGGGGCTGTGAGATTACACACAGGTCCTGTTGACAGTGCAGCCAGGGAAACATCTGGTGGAGGTCAGTGCTCTGTCCCAGGACAGAGGTGCAGTGAGAGAACCAGCTCCTCAAAGGTGTGTGTGTACTTCTTTAGTGTGTGTCAGTACATGGTGTCCTTGGTGGTGGAAGTGTGTGTGGCCGTGGAGTCATCAGGCAGAGAGCCCCTTCGGGCTGAGCGGGAGCCACAACGGAGCAGATGCTGCAGCTCTCTGGACACGCTGCTGGAGAAGGCTGTGTAGATCCAGGGATTGGTGCAGGAGTTCAGACTGGCCAGTAGCATCAGAATAGTGAAGGCCACACCTGCTGAGACACACGCACATATGCACATTTTACAAAGCTATTTATAGGAACACAAATACAGATAAATATTTAGTAAAAGGCTTAGAACCACAGGAACAGTCTATGAGTGCATCACAGTATAGGGTCCAACATAAACAGACTACAGCAATTCAGTTTGAATATGGGACACATATGATTATTGTTTTGAGTCTTATCACTAATGGTAATAAAAACAAAACTTTAAATATCCCAGCGGGATTCAACAACACAGAGACTTCCTCTTTTTGTATTGCTTTTTTCTCCTTCTAATAATAATTTCCTCTGTGTGGTAGGCTAAACATGATTTGACTGGAGTGACTGAGGACAATGGTTGGGTCAAGAGTGTACTGGGCATGCACAGGGTACATTGATGAACTTTGTTGTTGGGCAAGTTTGCAGGGTTGGGGTAAATGCATACGTGGCATGTGTGCATATTGCATATACATGAGAAAACCCAGTCTCTGTGGTGTGTGTGGTGGCTCCTCTGAGTGCACTCACATTGCGATGATACGTCAACATCTGGTGCTGTTACTGAAGTCGCCAGGGATATAAACTGTTTTTTTAATTTGCCTCAAGTGTTCAGCTCAGGATCAGAGGGAGACTAGTCAGTCCTGATTTAGTGCTACAAAGGCAACATGGCTCAAAAAACCATAGCAGTCAGAAAGGAGGGTGGCAATAAATCAATGAAGTATTGTTCTTGAAATACTGGTAAAAAAGTTTTACAATAAAATTATAACATGAATTCATTGTGGAACATAAGGTAGCACAGAACAAATCAAATGTCTAAAGGGAGAAGAGACTGTAAACATGTGGTTAATCCAAATGATGCTGTGCCTCTAGCAAAGATTTTGTTTATTTACTGGTCTTTTAATAGCCAGTTAAATATAGAAGTAATCAGACTTCCTACTTTCTAGAGTCAATCAGTTCCCAGGACATTTTCCTTGCTTGTTCCTGACCATTTTTTCATATCAGTAAACAATATTTATAATGAATTAATTAAATTATAATCATAACTTCATACAGTTGGATTTAGTTCATTTTATGTTTGACAACATGAAGAATAAAACAAAAAAAAGAAAAGAAAAAAAACACAAAAAACCACACACTTTTATTGCAACAGAACATGGAATTCCAAATATTACACAGTCTTAGAGGTTTCTTCTTTTAGAAAATAAATGTATGAATGAAACCTCCCATGTCTAAAAATAAGTGTTTACAAAGAAGTTTACAAAGAAGTTTAATCTCAAGTCAAGTGAGTTTGCAGACATTATGTTGCCAAACCTGCAGTTTGAATTTCGACCAAACCTTAAAACTGACCTTTATGAATTTCTTTTCACTCATTCTTTATATCAGAATGGGTGTGTCTGTGGTTTATTTATGAGACATACGGTAATTGCTAAATCATTCCTATTCAAACTGTAATCCCACCAGGTAAACCGCCTAGTCTGGGTTTTTCCACACTAACATACATGAATCATTTGTTGGACTAACCTTGGTCTGGAGGGTGGGGGTCCCATGCTGCCCATAGTTGCACAATAAAAAATGGAGACCAGCAGACAGTGTAGACCAGGACGATGACCAGAGTCATGCGGACGGTTTTGGACATAGCTTTGGTGATGCTGGGGGGTGGGGTGCTGGGGCGTGGCTGTGGTGGAGCGGTGTATTCAAGTGAACAGCGTGGAGAGCTCGGCTCCACTTCATATGAGGTATTGGGCTCCTGACATTCAGAGCTGTTTAGAGTAGTTGTGTTTGTTACATGGTCAGTGTGGCAGCTGCTGTATTGCAGAGATGAAGGGACATAGTCATAACACTCCACTGTTTTGCTGTCGGTGTGGGAGTTGTTATTGACACCCTTTAAAAGCTGCTGGGGCCCTCTTGTGTCTCTGCTCCCTGCCGTAGACGCCCGCCGCACCCGCTCCCTGTTGCTCCGCTCCTCATCTTTTTTAAAGCTATTAAACCGAAACAGGATCTCATTCTTCTTCAGTTCGGCCATTACCATGCGTTCCGACTTTAGATAGATGTTATTGTGAATCTCCCTGAAGATCCTTATCTGAAAGAGAACAATATTGTTTATTTTGGGTTAAAAAGGTCAACTTAGTCTATGAATTATGATCAAAAGTTGGTAGAGCCTTGTTTGCCTTTCAGCTGCATAGGTCACGGACATTGGCAGGTAATGGTAAACGTGGGCATGTATCGCTTACTCATTTCATATTTTTATTTAGTACAAAATGCACCTCTTTGTTCACTGAAAAATGTGAAAAAAGTTGTTAAATTTTACTCAATTTGAGTGACACACTCTGATGCCTTATAGAAGATGACAGCAGATGATATACTCATGTGGTTTTTACTTACTTTGTCAATATTTTCATCAGGAGCCTTTAGGTTTTAAATAAGATGAATGAGAACACATGCTGCTACATTTTGTGAATTAGTTTTGCAGAAACAAAAGCTACAGTTTAGCAGTGCAAATGAATGTGCTCATTTCAACTTGATCATAAAAAGACCATAAATTCCATGTTTGGCTGAGATCTGATACATTCCTGCTCCTGGTAGGAGAACCCACAGTGGCACACTTTGAGAGGCAGTCGTCTCAGCGATGGTCCTCCAAATGCGGTGTTAATTAGGGGAAATAGTTAGAGCTTGAAAATATGTCTCCCTAAATAGAGCAGCAGCAGGAGATGATGGGAGGAAGCCCAGTATGTGTCTTAGGATGCTACATAACACCAACCACAGCTCCCCTTGGGTTACTGAACGACGTTTGCCAAATACACCCCTCATAAAAACAAACAGCCTCACACCACATGCTTTGGGATTATATAATGTTTCATGTAACACAGAAACTGGTTAACCCTAAAAGCTTCAGGACTGTAGCAGAGCCCTGGCCTGTCTCACCTGGCAAATGGTGATGATGAGGGCGGGCAGCAGGAACACAGCCACAGTCATCCAGGTGACATAGGCCTTGAGTCCCCACGGCTCGGTGAAGTGCCCCCAACACTCAAACTCTCCAGGAGCTACTTCAGAGCGGGAGAAGATGAACACCTGCACAAGACAAAGCCTGTGGTCAGTGCATCTGTGGACTTCAAGAGGTGAGCAACAGTGACCTCACTGGACTAAAAACACAGACATCTTGAGCTCGGCTGCAGTGTCAGAGAGTGAACGCCCTGCGCCTCATTTCCTATTGGCCATGTGCTTTCTTGAGTATATGTCTGAGCTCTTACCTGTGGTATGCTCAGGACCAGGGCCAGCCCCCAAGCCACCATGGCCGGTGTGTTCCAGCGGGACATGACCCCCCCGCGATAAGCCTGCAAAGGGCAGCAGATGGCGTGGTGCCTGTCCACTGTCATGGCAACTATCATGTAAGATGAGGCAAACATGCCCACAATCTGCAAGTACTTGACACAGCGGCACAGTATATCAGGCCCCTGGAATCTCTCTGTGATGTCCCAAATCAGCTGTGGAAGGACCTACAGGGGCACAGATTAAAAATATGCTTAATTATAATAAAGGGATTAGAGTACTATAAACATCACGTCTAAAGGACAGTGCTCTTGTCAGCACATTCAGAGAAAAGCCATCATTAATAAACCAGTGCTTTGTTTGGCTTTGCTGGTATCTAATGGAGATGAATACTACAGGCCAAACACTGTTCTTTTAAGCAGGTTTGTTTGTCCTTAGGCCTATACAAGCCTAATGTTCTGTGCTATGAGCTACTATAGAGACGGATACACAACACTGAAAAAAGGACAATATCAGATTACTACTGTAATAGAGAGTGATAGTTAATACATTCAGTTTTTTCTGTTAAAATAGTAACATATAATTTATTTGGTCTGACCAGTGAAGGAGCAGCTTTAGGACACAGCCCTCTTCCTAATACCTCCCAGATTTTCCACTCTTGCAAGTGCCTCATCACTTTGTTATATTTATACGCAGCTATTGTTAGTCGTGTCAGGCCCAACACTGCAATTTACCCATGCAATCTCATCCAACAAATTAAGTAATCGGAAATATGTGCTACCCTTGAACAGAGGTCAAAATCTAAATTCATGAATGTAGATAAGAGGCCATGAGTCAGTTTATGAATAGTGGAGGCATTAGCATAACACTAATTAAATGTGTTAGACTAATCGAATAATAATTTGAAAAGAATAACTTAAAAAGCAAAATACTGACCTTGGCTGGCCTCGTATGTAGTCAATAAAAAGTGAGCCCTTTAAAGCTGCACAATGAGGCTGTAATGTCCAGTTAATTTTATTAAGTTTAAGAAGAGTGCTGCATGGCTATTGCTTTGACCTTTACTGTAAAGAACGTTTTGTTTTAAAAGAGGACAAAGCCACTGAAGCAACCAATGGTCAGCAAAGGCTCACTGACCTTAATAATGCATCAAGACTCCAGAGTAAAGTGTGGTTAACCCAAGTCTAACCATAAACCACAGCCACAGTAAAGGCGCTCTCTTATGACTGTTTCAGGAGTTTTGCAAATGGAAGGACTGCATGTTTTGAGAGTAAAAAATTTAACTGTATTGTGATTAAATGTGAAATAGATTTCACAGCCTGACAAAAAAAGGAGTAAATGTAACAATATCTTACTTACTCTAAATTACTGAATACATTAATTCTATGTAATTTGCTTTGTTTTTCAAATATTTACTGACAACTTCCAAAGAGTCTAGCTTTGAAGATTGTCGCGTCTGCATTAGTACCACCATTAAACAGGTTTAACTCTTCAAGGTTAGACTGAACCCATATCTACAACTGGGCCTGAGTTGTTTTGTAAACATATGTGTCAAATCTCCAGATCTTTTTCAAAACAGACCGTAAAAACATTTATAACACATTTGCTTTGATGCAGAAATACAATATTGCCCATCCCTTTTCCAAAAGTCAATAAACTGACCTGGAAAAAGGCCACCACCAGGTCAGCCACACACAGGTTGACCATGAACACGTGCATGGGCGCGTTGTGCTTCCTCCGGCGCAGTAACACCCAGAGCACAAAGCTGTTTCCCAGGGTGGTGAGGGCCAGGATCACCCCCAGGACGGCGATCTCCGCCCGGGCCAGCCCCACGTCCCGCACCCTGGGTGGGGACAGAGTGTGAGGCGAGCTGGTGGTGGAGCTATTCTCAAAGAAGAGGCCGAAGGAGGAGCCCCCGCTGTGAGTGCTGTTGAGCGAGTTGAGTTCAGAAACAAACGAGGAGAAGTTGTTGACGCGTCCCTGGGTAAACGCCGAGGAGAGGCCCAGCCCGTCCCAGGCTGTTTCCACACTGATGCTTTCCATGCCTGCAAAACAAACACAGCCAGTTATGTGGAAGAGCTCAGGCAACCCCCGGAGTGATAATAAGAAAGCTACACACCGCAATAGTCACATGAAAGCTAAACACATTATGATCATTCATTTTGCTGAATTGGTTATATGTCATTAATGGTGTCTGGAATTCTGTATAGTTTATCAGCTGAGGACAATTTCACATCATCATCATAAATAAAAGCACTCCGTATAGGTGCTGTATACCAGTGGTTCCAATAGGTCTGCTGTTTACTGTCCTGTTGGAGATTGTACAGTGTATGAGTGTGTGGTTTTCTTATGACGTGTATTATGTTGTGTTTAGATTTTAATATACATGTTCATACATATACACAATTGCAAACTGCACCAGTATTAAATGTCCAAACTACTGTATGCGTCCATGTATTACAGTATTACACAAAAATTTAATGGAAGAAGAAAAATTTAATACAATAACATAGCCTCATATCCTTTACAAACAGAAATAACATCTTATTAATTCAACTTAATAATGCTGTTCTGAAATGAATTCTTGTGTTAGTTTAGCTGTTGATGATGTCAGTCTTCCCTAAAATGTTAATGGTTAATGTTGAAAATTATGAACTAAATAATGATTTGAAAGCACAAATGGCAAAACTACTAAAACGTACTAAAAATTACAACCCTAATATAACCTTATGCGCATGTTGTTTCATTTCCAGTTTTGAAGAAGCTTTAACTGTTTGTCCTTCTAACAGAGCTTCCCCGCTTGACGTAAATCCAGGCCAGTTTATTTTCTTTCCCATCCTTCTTTCTTGTGTTTGATTTGACAGCTTTCACCCTCGATCCCACCGATCTTTTGCCTTTACCTCATAATCACATTTATCCTGTTCTTACCCCATACACTTCCATCCTCAACCCTCTATTTATTTTGAAGCTCTTCAAAATAAATTGCTAAAAAGAAAGAAGCAGGAATTATATGACAGATTAGAAAGCAATGCTGTGGGATGTGTCCGTTTTTGTTAAATAACTAGAATGCACAAATCTCTGAAATGTTGCCAAATATAGTCTGGGCAATAAATGTCCTCCAATAAAAACTTTTAGACAGTTAAAATTTAAGGGTTTAAAAAATGTTAAAGAGTTACGAGCTGCAAATGCAAGCATGTGCTAAAAATAGAAGGAAACCCCAGATAGTATTGTGCAACTGCCCGGGACTAACTGGACATTACAAGGTTGTTCTCACTACTCCACTGAGATTTAAGGGCCAATTTGCCTGTAATAGCTTACTCACTGTTGGGTGCAGCAGATCAGTCAGCTGAGTGCATTGTTGAGGGGATGGCTGTGCTGCAGGAATGTATTTTCATGAGTGGTTAGGCCAGCTGGACATCTATAGAAGAATGTACATGCCAACTACAAGAGAAAGACAACAAGCGCAGGTGGAGAAATGAAGTTTGTTGAGTCACTGTCTAACAACCAGCACAGTACAAAGAATGGAATTTTAATTATGATTAATGCTCAATTATGTATAATCAATTTAACATTTGAGGAATTTATGATCTGTGGTGTAATATTGTTTTCGTCATCACAAACATACCAGGAGTTGTGTTTTGTTTGTTTTTGTTTGTTTTTGTTTTTGTCACACATGTTTAACATGCAAAATCTGCATATTGAGTTTTCTCAAAGAGAAAACACTCTGTTCCACCTTGTGATTTCATGTGGTAATACAAGAAGTGCTCCACTAGAATGATTCAGATAATTTCAGACCTGGAATTGCCAATCTGTAATGAACAAAAGGTAAAAAGAGTTGATGACTTTAAAACTACAGCTTCATGACATCATACAGTCCCTGACAAAAGTCTTGTCGTTTATCCATTTTGTAGAAACAAAAGCTTACTTTAAATTAATCGATTGGTTTTAGAAATGTCTCATATGAAAGCTAAAACCCCCCAAATTATGTTCAATATACTAAAATAAATTTGCTTCACTGAAGAAAGATTGATAATTTAATAACACAGAAAGGTCAGATTTTGGCAAGACAAAAGTTTTGTCGCCTACAGAAAATTGAACAAATAATTTACTTCAAATACAAAAATATGTTGCATAACGTCAGTGAATTAAGTAGTGGTGCTGTGAGATCCATATTTAATATCTTGTATGACTTCCATGAGCTTGAAGGACTGCATCCATGCGGTCGATTCATGATTCATACAATTTGTTGATGAAGTCATCAGGAATAGCAAAGAAAGCGTCTTACATGCCTCCCAGAGTTCATCAAGATTCTTTGGTTTTGCCTTCCATGCTTCCTCTTTCATTCTACCCCAGACATGCTCAATGATGTTCATGTCTGGTGACTGGGCTGGCCAGTCCTGGAGCACCTTGATCTTCTTCGCCTTGAGAAACTTTGATGTAGAGATAGAAGTATGTGATGGAGCACCATCCTGCTGCAAAATTTGACCCCTTTTATGATTGGGAATGTAAGAGGTAGCTAATACTTCTTGATATTTTAGGCTATTGATATTGCCTTCCACCCTGCAAATGTCTCGCACACCCCCATACTGGATGTAACCCCAGACCATGATTTTTCCGCCACCAAACTTAACTGTTTTCTGGGTGAATCTTGGATCCATGTGGGCTCCAGTAGGTCTCCTGCAATATTTGTGGCGGCTGTGATGTAATTCAAGCGAGGATTCATCTGAGAAATCCACCTTCTGCCACTTTACCAGTGTCCATCCTTTTAGCAGGCTGTGGGCCTTGGCAAATGCCACACATTTTTTTAATTGCCTTTTTGTTTAGTGCTGGTTTCTGTGCACTGATTCGACCATGGAGGCCATTTCGAGACAGAATTCTACAAACTGTTCCGGTTGACACAGGGACTTGAGGTGACCAGGCCTGGTGGAGCTCTGCTGCAGTGGAAAAGGGGCTGGCCGTGGATTTTTGAATCAACAAACGGTCCTCCCGAGCAGTTGTCTGTGGGGTCTGCCGGACCTGGGCTTGTCAAAAACATCTCCAGTCATTTCAGATCTTTTTCTTATTCTTTGTACTTGACGCTGAGACACATTGAAGGTGTCAGCCACCTCAGCAGTGGATCTGGTCTTCAGCCTCTTGATAATTAATGCTTTGGTCTCAGGGTGGATCTTAGGCATGTTGTCAGAGGTCAAGTTGCAGTTGATGTGAAGGTCTGGTGTGCTGGGGTTCTTTTTATACACACCCACTAATTGATTGATCAGTAACTGATCACAGGTGAGGCTGTAATCTAGGATTGAGTGCCTCACATGACAAGTCGACAAGACTTTTGTCTTGCCAAAATCTGACCTTTCTGTGTTCATTAAATGATCAATCTTTCTTCAGTGAAGCAAATTTATTTTAGTATATTGAGCATAATTTGGGAGGGTTTTAGCTTTCATATGAGACATTTCTAAAACCAATGGATTAATTTAAAGTCAGGTTATAAGCTTTTGTTTCTACAAAATGGATAAGCGACAAGACTTTTGTCAGGGACTGTAAGGTGGAACAGAACTTTCTGAGCTTTGGAGATATAGACAGACAAATAATTAAGGGTTACTCAAGCATGTGTAAAGGAAACAAAACACAACTCCAAGTATGTTTTTGATGAGATAACAACATTCTAACATGGCTTAAAGTTCACAAGAGTCAATTTTGCATAATATAGAAAGGACCTTTAAGTGCGTTAAATTCGCATGTACTTGTTTTCTTTAATGGAAAAGTTTTACTTTTCTATTTCAGGGAAATATATGTCACCTACTTTCATTTCATTCTTTCTTTTCATTTTAGTTGTGCTGATGCCCCACCTTTACTCTAAGCAAATAATTGTTTGAATAATCGTGATTTCAATAATGATTTAAATAACAAAACTTTTAAACACCATCTCCTCAATAGCCCAGTTTGTGATCCAATATCAAACCATTGCTATTTTTAGATTTAGTTCATTGTTAGTGATCAGCATCAGTTTGTCACATGCAACACTGGTAAGACGATCTAGTCACAAGGTCTGTTGACTCGCAAATAAATGAAAGGGCATGAAAGGCCATTCACTGTCACAGTATTTGCTTGGTTACTTCACAAGAGTGAAGCTAAGTGCAACAGCTAAACAAGGTAACAGGTGAATGTATGTTTTAGGCATTATGGACCAGCTGAACCTCACCTATATTAAGTACTTTATATCTCCATTGGTGAAAAGTCTACATAACTAAAGATTCATTCTTAAATATCAGTTGTTGGTACTTTAGAGTTTGTGGTTTCTAAATCTTACTGTAATTTTGTACATCATTGGCAAAGGATTTGAAAGTGTTGATAATCAGAGACATGTTTGATTTTAAAAGAATTGATTTCCACATAGTCATCTTTTATTTATTTAATATTTGCCAAATGGAAAAGGTTGTGCCAGAAAAACACACTAACTGGTCCAAATAAAATGGCAGAGATGTTCCAAGAGTTTATCATTCAGTATGAATATATTTTAAACTACATGATGATTTAAATTGGCAATGTACTGTTTAGAAGGGGAAATTATCAAAAAGAGGAACATTGTAAACCCATCTTAAACAACAGAATATGCTGGAATAATTTTTACTTGTGGCCAGTCAAGAGCAGGTCATAGCCAATAGGCAGTGTTTAAGTCTATTTATGGCCATGCTTTTGAAATGTAAGATAGTATTGTCATTTGTCATACTATTCCACTGCATACTTGGGGTTAAATGAGCCAGTGCTATTCAATACTTTTTTGGTTAACGGCGAAATGCAGTGATGCAGTGAAGAACCTGTTGTTAGCCAGAGTTGCTCACTTGCATGCATAAAAGTTTATGAGAAAACACTGGGATCAAAGTTGTCTTTAGGAAACGTATGAATAACAAGTGTGTTTTAATCAAAGTCTATCCAGGCTTTCTTTGTTCAAACCTGTGGACCCACACGCCCCCAACTATAATTACAGAATAATTCATGAGAGGGACTTTGTGCTACTGCAATCCCCCATACCTCCTGTATAATCTCATTATGTATATTTGCACATGTGACTGATATCTGAGGTGAAATCCTCTTTCAAGTCCTACCGCTGTGTGGATAAGCACATCACTAAGTCGACCTGTGAATCTGCTACAATATCATCGAATTATTCAGCTGGATTTGTGTTATAGTCTATATGAATACATACTGTCTTGGTGTTCACTTAAAGCTTTAATTACATTCATGGTTCTGAAGTCATCTGCCACTATCACTAGTTTAGCAGTATTATAAGGAGTAATATTAGTAGCAGCAATTATGTACTTTCTACATTGGAACAATACTTAATTCAGTCCAAAAGCTTAATTCAAAACTTCAGTGCTCTTAATCTTCAATAATATTTAGCAGTAACAGTAGTGTAGGCCTGCTTTATGGAGTGCTTCTGCTTGAGACCAGCACTGTCCAACTCCTGTACAACCACCCATTGTTTGATTGTTTATTATTGCACATTTACTCACATTTCAGTGATGGTGCCCACTGCCAAGTATCCACTAGTTGAGAAACAAGTCTATTTATCCAATTGTAAATGTTAGGCCTAGTTTCCAAATCGCTTTGAAAACTTTGTTGTGTGTATTGTGTTTTATGCTTGATAAAATAAAGTGTGTCCTTTTCTTGTACTTGTACATGAGATGGAATTGCTGTATATTATGTATAGACAATAAGAGGCTAGTTCAGGTTTTAAAAGATATTTAATGTGGGAGTAATTCTCTACTGTTCTACTGTTGTCTTTTTGCCATTTTAGCTCAAAGTAGATTAATTTGTGTTATTATATGCATTTTAAGAGGTCTGACACATCAAGAGACATCACACCTCTGATGCCATGGGAGACTCAATCAGACACACTTAGAGGATGGAATTTGAAGTGCAAATTAAATTTGTCAAACTGACTGTTAAACATCTGCCCCTTTCATCTGCCCAGTGTAACTGCACGTTTGGGCTGTGGTTGTGGACTTTATGGGTTTAGTCCCACTTTAAGTTATTAGGACGTATTGATGGAAAACAGTTTAAAAAATAAGAAAAATATTTGCTTCTTAACTGGGTTAAACTTGGACTTAATGTGAAGGCTGGTTTATAGGCCAGCGTCATGCTCCGCTTCAGCAGAGTGCTGACATCCTCACAGACCTAGACAGGACAAGCTTCTGCTGAGCGAGGCTACAGGTGCACTATAGGAACTCAAACTCTTGTGTTCATTGCGTTATTGACGATACATTTACACATTAGGCTCTTGTGCTGGTCTATTCATATTTTGGTGATGGTCCACTGCCAAGTTACCCACTAATTGAGAAACACTGCTATTTTCTCAATGGTAAAAGTTGGGCCTATCTTCATAGCACTTTGAAAACTGTTTATGTATTATTCATATGCTTGATAAAATGCAGTTGTTTGTCCTTCTT